TATATATATATATATATATATATATATTTCTCATATTTTGTATACGGACACGTGTCGGTTTAATCATGCATGCTTATCTATATACTGATAAAATTCTTGCACACTTTTCATTTCTACCTTCCCACAGGTGCCCCACAGCCAGGCATAAGGGCCAGCACGCTTGGCCTTATAGCGGGCTTCCTGGTGAAAGCAGCTGAGGATTGCATTACTTGCGACGACTGCATCGGCAAAATCAAGGCTCCCAGCTCATCTGGACCAGCTACTGCTGTGATATTTAATTTAGACAGGGGAGGGCTTTCATACCCAACGATCTCATTTCTTTCCTTTGTGAGCACTCTAGAAAGGGCCGCGGAAGCATTTGCGCCATTGGCCATTTCCAAAAAGAGGCCGATGGCACTTTTTGTGCAAACTGTGCTACCTGCAGTGGCCTTGAACCCTCTTTTCAGCCATAAAGGCGCTACTAGCGAGCACCGAGAAGCCATGGCGCGGCTAGTGTTGCAAAAATTTAGCCGTCCTTTCTTCTCAAACTACGTGCGGGACAAAACAGCCAAAGAAGGAAAGAGAAAGAGAATAGCCGAAAAGCCAAAATCTCGCAAGATTTTAAAAGTTTAGTTGCATGCCTCCATTGTATCATGTACGCGCCCAGAACCTTGCTAGCACATTTTATTGAACTATGACCCAAATGCACGCAGCTCTGTACGCGTACATATGTTTTTCTTTATTGCAGACACAAGCCGTCACTGTGTGCCAGCAAGTAGGATATTCTTCGAAAGTGCAGAAACTTTGTTTGAAACATCAGCTTTAACTGGCATATTGTGGCACGCATAAGTAAAGCGACAAATGTGTTTTGTTTCATTTTGAAGTGCTGTAACATTGCTCGAATCACACGCATACACTCGCCAAATTCTTTTAGCAGAAACCTTGATATCACTTTGAGGGATCTGCTTTTCATTGACAAACGAGTATAATGGCACATTTTCAGCATGTGTACGCGCCCCAACTGCGGGTGTCGCCCTTGGGCGCTATCAATCAAACATAACCACTAGTACAACAAAGGCGGTACTATTCCGCCCTAAAAATAAGTCTGTTAATGAAAACATACATTTCAAGTATGGCGATACTATTATTGAGTTAGTAAATTGTATAAAAATTCTTGGAGTTACATTTTCGAGCAATATGCTTTGAAACGATCGCATTTACAGTGTGCTGGGTCAGTTATCTCGCGTAGAGGGCACGGTGTACAGTGGCAAAACTGTTCTACTATACAAGGTAAAATTCTTACTTTATAAATGACTGTTCTGTTGGCATCTTGCTTATTGTTTCTTGGTATGAAGGACTACGACTAACACGCGCTTACAAAAACTGTACCTGATGCAAAAGACGTATATTAGAATAATTTTTTACTGGTCGTATGATGCTCGCAGAAGTGAATTGTTTCAACAGGCTGGAATACCACCCCTACATCGTCTCTACGATTTTAAGTTAGCATTGGTGGTCAGGCGTCAATTTCAAGAAAGTCGACATTATTTGTACGACCTCTCGAAACTGCAGCCAAATAATTTGTTCGAAACATGACATAAAGAAACATGGAAAATAAAAACTTCGAGAACAAACTACTCCACAGATAGGTTGTTCTACACAGTTTCTACGTTAATTGATAAATATGTGAAAGCTGGCATAGATTTCTTACTCTGTACCCGAACTCAATTGCACGATATACACATGTATAGTTTTCAAGATTTCTTTGCAGTTGCTACATTGTTATCATGGTTGCTATTTTTATTTTTAGAATTTGAACTTGATATTTTTGTAATTGTTGCTTAGATAACATTGCTAACTGTTTGCCAGTGCTGTCGTGCTAAAGGCGTCTGTGGGCCTATGTCAAGCTGCCTCTTTCGAAGAGCAGCTTTTACCTGCCGCTGTCCTTCATCAAACTATTGATGAAAAATAAAACATTATTATTATTATTATTATTATTATTATTATTATTATTATTATTATTATTATTATTATTATTATTATTATTATTATTATTATTATTAACTATGCTCGACAAGATGATGATAATGATGACGATAAAAACTTTATTGGGGTCGCAATGTGTTGCCCTCGATAGGCACATCACTGCCTTTACCATATCGTCTCATCGCACGGACATATAAAATCATAGAAACGCGCATCGGCCAGCGCTCCCCGTTCCAGCAGACAAACTCCCGTAGCGAAATTTGACGCACAATTTTTGTTGTGTAGGTCACAGTAAGAGTTAAAGCTTCAATTCCTGTGTCTCTCCTTGATATGCGTCCGTGGGCGTATGTGCATTATTCTCTTCTATCAATTGACTACAAGTGTAACACCTGTCCAGGGCGAGTGTCCAAGGTAAGTGCTCAACAGGGGCACTGCGTTTCACCTGACGCGTCCTAAACAACCTAAAATCAGTTTGATATTCTATTACCAATGAGTACATTATTAGTCAAAAGCTTTATGAATACTAAATTGAAGTTTTTTTAGGCTGGAATGGCAAAAACAACCATGCAGCAAGACATTTCTACGCAAATATACAGCTTTAGAAGTCAATCAACCAGTATAGCCTAACTACTAAAATGTAACACATAGCACACGTTAGCCTTTTCAGCAAAAAACAATCACACGTATAGGCAGTTTGTCACAGAAGCAGACGCATGGTATCAGTCCGTCGCCCTCCTGCCGGCCGCACAGTAGCAGACGAACAGGTTATAGGTAGCGCCACCTACGGCGAGCGATTGAACGAGAGCGGGGACACGCGCTCCCATAGGAACCCCGCTATCTGAACAGGTCAGGAGTGTAGTAGGTCATGATGATGATTGTTGTGGTTTTGCATAGTACCGCCAAAATCGCTGCTGTCGCTAGTTTCGTGTTCATGTGGCGGCTATTTTAATTTCCTGAAGTGTGTCAAGTAACGAGGCGCCAACTGGCCCAGCATAACATACCGTTCCAAGACGTAAGGAGAATATTTCACATGGGTCTTCAGCTTTTCTAAGCAACAAGAGTGCATTTGAAAAAGAAAGAAAGAAAAGAAGATATCATTTGCACTACGGTTGTTGAGTTGCTTGAAAAGAGGGTGTCAATTAACATGCACATGATTTACGAACATTTACCTTCGATTAAGCACTTACCAGAAAGGCGTCCCCTCTGCTCTGCTGGTGCCCCCTCAATTTTTGCTCGTGTAATCTTGCGAAAACTTGTTGCTTATTTAATGTGTGTTCTTGTTGTCCATTTATTAGTTGATTAATGAATGAACAAAAAGAACACATATTAAACAAGCAACAGGCGGGTGCCTCTTTTTTCTGAAGATATTAAGAAATTCATATCGCACTCCTTTGTTCGTGGTTACATTTTCTAAAAAGGCTTGCATTTTATTTTCTGTATTTTTTTTTTTTTGCTTGAAGGCTTGCCACACTTGCTTGATTGGCTTTTTTTTCTTTTTTTTAATAGAAATGCTTTCATTTGTCTGTGAAAAGCCACAATTTACAACGACCAATGGTTTATCTAGTTATATGAATGGAAATGCGGCCGTGCAGGCAAAGCGATCAACTCCATTTAGTGTGCTTTCTCCCATAATATCAACGTACGTCACATCAGTTGTTACAAAAAAAAACAACAACAAAAGAAATTGGAGTGGGGTATGAGTAATAATCGAATGCTCTCACTTTCACCATTAGCACTGAAACAGAATTTTTTTTTATTAAGGTCGAGTTTTTTAGAAGTATAACACATCTATATACGAGATTACTACGAAACAAAGATACAGCTCTATGATTATTGCAAACTGTCTTTTTCTCTGCGCTTCACTTACAGCTTCAACCAATTCATCAGTCTCGAAAAAAAGCGTCCCGGAGATCAGTTTTTTTCGTAGATAAACGTTATTGGATTATCATGCAAAGGCACCAGCGTTCGCCCCTATGATGAATGTTCAATATATATAGCCGTACGGTGACGTAGGTCGTGGTGCATTACATTTAAAGGAAATGAGTACTTCGTAGACGTGAGCAGTGATGAAGGCAGAAATATTTTCCCGTCGAGTGCAGCCGGCTGAAAAAAAAAAAAAAAAAAAAGAAGTGTGCAGCTTGCATTTATGGCGCAAGGCTGAAACCTGCACTGACGGCTTCTCCGGAGTACAACCACTTGTTATTTCCCTGGCGCAGTGAACTGTCTAATTCAAGAATGATGGAAGTTGTCATCACAAAATTTCGTTGTCGCGTTACCTCCCTCAATTTTTACTTGCATAGATCAGGTATATTGAATTACCATATGTGCATTTACTGTAATCAAGAGGAAACGATTGCCCCGCCGCGGTGGTCTAGTGGCTAAGGTACTCGGCTGCTGACCCTCAGGGCGCGGGTTCGAATCCCGGCTACGGCGGCTGCATTTCCGATGGAGGCGGAAATGTTGTAGGCCCGTGTGCTCAGATTTGGGTGCACGTTAAAGAACCCCAGGTGGTCCAAATTTCCGGAGCCCTCCACTACGGCGTCTCTCATAATCATATAGTGGTTTTGGGACGTTAAACCCCACATATCAATCAATCATCAATCAGGAAACGATTAGTCATTCTTTATTACATTGTCGCCGTTTCGATTTATTCAGGCAAAGCATACTAGCACCACCTCTTCAAAGACTGGGCTTGCAATTATCACAACCTGATCTTCTTTCATTTGGACCCTCTACACTGGGTTTCAGCCACAGGCATGTTTTATTCGCCGTTCAGGAATGCATCACTGCGACTAAACGATTTTCTTGCTAAATTATGGTCTCACTACATTTCTTCATTTTTTTCTGCAAGCTTGCTATCGGCATTTCAAATCAAAATTAAATTACAAAATTTTTGTAGGAATGACGCATTGCTGAAAGTTTAGGGTAAATTCACTTTATAATCGGCCAATCCCCTCCTTTGGGTACGAGCCATTTGCACAGGGAAACAATAACAACAAACCAACGAACGTGAATGAGGACGAAGAATCATAACTATGGCGTGCCTTTTGCAGATGTCGTGCCTCCTTATATTTGCGAATAATGCGCTGGGACTCGAACAATTTTCGCTGAACGGACGCTGGAGAGCCAGCAACAGCAACGGCTGTAAGTGTGCGACATTTCCTGCATATGCCTACATGTGATAATGCATGCAACATTTCCCCTTAGCTAGAGCAAACGCTTTCCCTTTGCTCAGAAGGGGTGAACCAGACAGCGAATTCCGCCCCTCCGCGGGACAGGAGTGAAGGAAGCGGGGGTGTTGCAAGTAACTGACTTTCATGTCCCAAGCCTACTTGCGTTTGTGGTTCTTGCACCTAAATTACTCATTAGAAAAAAAACGGTTGTATTTGGTTCGCTGTTGGTTGCGGGATGGTGCCATGATGTCGCTAAGAAGGAAGCGCAGCAGCTTTATACTGCGTCAGGCAAATGTAGAGCTCCGCTAAAAAGTTAAATGGGGAGCACTCGCAAGCTTGTTCACATCTACTAATATACAATGAATATAATCGAATATCAAATTATTTTAGAATACAATAAAAATATATGCGGGAAAGCTGTGTAAACGCATCAAAACATATATACGGACATTCTGTAAACAAAGTGATCTTGTGCGAACTGCAGAAACGTATGATTGATCGTATTGTTTTAAGTTTTATCCAATACTGCTCTTCAATAGAATAGCAAATCAAAATACTGCGTTGAAGTAGGTCGCTTCCCACAACGCCAATGCAATGCCTACGGTAAAGATTGATTGATTGATAAAAACTTTATTTTGGTCCTGAGAAGACGCAGGGGAGACCCCGCGCCACCCGGCTAATCCCACGTTGGGACCGTCAAGCCGAGCTTGGCGGTCCGTTCACGGGCACTCTGGACGGCCAGGGTTTGATCGTTAAGTTCGGGGCCGAGCGCAGCCCACCTGTCCTCGCTGAGGGCGGAGCCAATGGCTTCACATTCCCACAACACATGGTTGAATGTTGCTAACAGTGCACAGGCGGGGCAATCCGCACTTGGATACTGTTCAGGGTAGATGGCATGAAGAACCGCAGGGTTAGGATAGGCACTGGCCTGCAGTAGTCTGAGGGTAATTGCCTGCGTCCTGCACAAGGCAGGGTGTGGGAGGGGGAATACCCTTCTTGACAGATAGAAGTGCTTTGTTATTTCGTTGAACATAAGCAAGGGTTGCCAGCGAGGCAGAAGACCTGCAGAGGTGGCGCTATACAGTCTTTTTTTTTTCGTCAATATGAAAGTGTTTATGCCGGGGTCCACTATATATAGCTGCAATGACTTATTTCCGTCACGGATATGACGTTGTAAAATATAAAGCAACACATAACAAAGAAAAGCTACAAGAAATGACGTAAAATATATACTAACGAATGGCGAAGAGAAAAAAAAACTAGAAAAAGTTCCGTCGCCGTATACGTCAAGCCTATGGGCGCGCGGCGCAAAATGACATGGCCGCAGAGTGTACATTCTTAATAATGCAAACGTAAAGCTATTGATACACCATTTACCGTTGACGATATTCCGATATCGGTGGCACTTCAGCGTGTTTTCGTTATCACTAGCGAAATGGCACGAAGGGTGCACTTTAAAGGGACCCTTAAACGATTTTACGATTTCGTACAAACACATTGGGCAGGTGGACTAAGTCGTAAGGGTCATTTACATACCAATTTGAGCTCTCTGCGCAAACTGATTAATTTATTACAGCGCTTTAAAGCTGCAAATTGCTGCAGATCGCTGCTTCTCAACCAAACGCGTTTTCAACCCCCTGTTCACAGAAATATGTATACGTGCCCTGGTAACGCTACGTCACCGAGGCTGCTAATCAGATTGGCTGTGTAATGAGCGAAAGTAAGATCGGATGGTAGGGTGACAATATCCTGTCGGAGCAGATATCAACGACTCCGCGATCTTCGTCTCTGCTGCTACATGGCTAGTGAGCTACCGGGTGCACTGTGTGATGGCCTCCGAGATTGCGCGCAACGTGTCAGCGTACAAACTCTGAAGTCTAGACTGGGCGATGCTCAAATCAATGCACCCCTGAGAGCTTTGTGATCGCCAGTGATGCCAGCGTGTCTTATCAGTTGAGGAGGTAAGGCAGAGCTGAGAAGGAGGGTATGATGTGATTGACCATGGCGGCCTTGTATATGGCGTGTAGCTAAATTTGTGGTGTCCCCCCCCCCCCCAAATAAAACAAGATAAAAAAAATTGGCCCCGTATCTGCATTTAATCTGCAAATGTCGTCGAAAGACGATAGTCTTGCGTGTGGAGAGAGTGAGCAAAACATTTATTTGATGTTCTGCTCAAGAAAATCGGTGAATGGTATTCTAGAGGCGCTGCGTTATAGAGTGCCTCGAGCGTGCAGCGGAGGCGAACGAGTGCATCAAGTCACGTCACCCGTGAGACTTGAGTGCCATCTGGTAGTTCTTTCCAAAAACAAAGCGCGTGGCTCTGAGACGGGTGTGCGCGCACGCGTCAGATGTGATAAGGTGTAGAACGCAAGGCGACGGGTACGTGCCACCACCGTCTCGTTTTAGCAAAGCGTTGGAAACACTCGCCTTTCCGTGCAAACGTTGGTTGGTCAGCGCAGCGTGATAAGCGCTACGGTCCTTAAAATTACTTATGTATGCCTTTTCTAGTAAAAGGCGCACATGCAGAATATATACGTGTTGTTATGGTGCCTCAGACACGCGCAATAATTCCCTTTTATTCGAAAATTGCACAAGTATGAACGCTGAAACTTGAGCAACATAGGTGGGCGCTGCGGATGGACGAGTAGGAAAAAACCTTTATTGATGCTGGCTGTGCCAGATAGCCCTTATCCCCACCGGGCTCGTTGACATCCCTAGTCCGGGACGTCATTAGTCGAGGCCGCAACCAGAGCCCGCTGGACTAGAGCTCGCTGTTCCTCTAGTGTGGAGCTATTGAGTAGGGTCGTCTCCCAGTCCTCTTTGGTGGGGTTGGGAAAGGGGGTTAATTTTGGGTTTATTTGGCAGGCCCAGACCATATGGTAAGTGTTGGCCACTTCCCCACAGTACTGGCACTGCCCACTTGTTTTTGGGTCGTAATATTTGAGTATGGCTGGACAGAGCAGCGTATTTGTCTGTAGGCGCCGCAGGATGCGCTCCTCCGTTTTCGAGAGTCCCTTCGCTGGTGCGGCATACAAGCGGCGTTGCTCAATGTAGTATTCTTTGATTTCTCGAAACCGTGTTAAAGGTGTGGGACGTTCAGGTCTATCAGGGGAACGGGGAGTTTCCCGGGAAGTAAGCACGCGGGCCGCTGCATGTGCAGCCTCGTTACCCTGTAGACCCTGATGTCCCAGAGTCTATATAAGACGTTTTGGGGTAGGATCGCGGTTCCTGATGCTGAATTTTAAAAGTCTATTAGCCAATGGAGAGATTTTTCCTGCAAGAGAGCTCTCGCAGGCTCTTCGAGAGTCTGTAATTATTTGTTTTGAGTTTGGATGGGATACTGCCAGTGCAATGGCCACCTCCTCCGCCTTACTTGAGCTTGTGGCTTTGAAAGTGAGGCCGTCCACCTGCGTTCCTTGATGTATTACCGCCGCCGTGTAGTATCCCCTAGGTGACGGCCCGGCCACATCGACGTAATAGACCCCATTACGGGAGCCAAGCCGTTGTTCAAGTGCCTCAGCGCGCGCTTGCCTTCTACCCTGGTGCGCCTCCCTGGTCATATTGCGGGGAAGCGGGGACACCCAGAGTTTTGTTCTCCAAAGTTCAGTAATACGCTCCGCGTTTTCGATTTCGCATTCGTGCCGGATCAAGAGGCGGTCCAGTAGGCGCCGCCCGGGGGGCGTCTGCGTAAGACGCGTATATTGATTTGTGAGGTGGGCTTCTTGGAGCTGTCGTATAGATTTAAAGCCTCCCAATGCAGATAGTTTCTGATTTGAAGGGCTGATGGGTAAATCAAGTGCGCGCTTAATTACTTTCCTAAGAATAGCATCGACTCTGTTCTCTTCGTGTTTAGTCATTCGTAAGTACGGTATTGAATATAGAATCCTGCTAGTTACAAAAGTATTGGCGAGCCGAATCGCGTCCCTTCCTCGTAGCCCCCCGCGCTTGTTTGACACTCGGCGGATCATGTGCCCTACCTGTTCTCCAATTTTCCGTAGCTTGTCTAGCGTGGTGCTGTTTTTTGTTCTATTCTGAATCAGAAGGCCAAGGATTCGTAGTTCTGAAACCTCTCGTATTGTTCTGCGGATGGGGTCGGCCGTTTCAAATACCCGATGCTGTTAAGAGTGGACAAACAGACAAATGTACAGACACAGACAAACCAAAATTTTTGCATCGAAGGTCCCCAAGAAAGACTATCGTCTTTAAAAAACAAACCGTTTCATAGTCTCTTCAAAGGTCGTCGCCCTGCGCGTTGCGATGCTCGCTCGTGCGCCTTTACAGAGGCGTGGTCGCTTGTGTACGCGCTTATATCGTGATGGCGGTTGTTTATACCTCTTTTGCTGTCAGCGCAAGTTTGCGTTGAAGTTACAGAAAGCACGAAGGTCACTTTGCTCACTGAAGCGGCCGTTTCTGCGAAAGGAGCGCGCTGCTCACATAGAAGAAATAACAGCTAGCTGTGACAGTTGTCAGTTCGCGCTCGTCATATACTTGTCCGTTCATTTCGTGCATCCTTGTATTACAGTAGCGTGCTTTAAGTTATGAGCTTCGTGCTATAGTCTTGTGTATGTATTATTCGTGCGTACTTTCTGCTTGAGCAACGCACTGTAAGTTTCGAGGTGCTTGCTGTTCTTCGCGTGACATCACAATTTGTTGCTCTAACATTCATTTCTTCGCCCATGTGGCGAAACAAAGGGCAATAAACGCTAAACTACCTCTGTGAAGACACGTTTCGCTTTCGTGTTATACCGATTGCTATGGCAGATGGATCTGCCATGTCTTTTGTGGACGAAGCACCTTAGGGTCTAGGCTTGCCCGTTGTGAATTCTAACGATTACGCTGATGACAGTTTAAGGTACCCACTATACATCATGACGATGACGTTGATAGCAATGCACGTTACCTACAATACACGTTACAATAAGCACGTTACCTCTGTGAAGACACGTTTCATTTTCGTGTTATACCGATTGCAATGGCAGAGGGATCTGCCATGTCTTTTATGGACGAAGCACCTTAGGGTCTAGGGTTGACCGTTGTGCATTGTGACAATGATGCTGATGAAAATTTAAGGTACCCACTATACATAATTACGATGACGCTGATGGCAATGAAGAATAAGCACGTTTTAGACCACACATTCTCTTTCTGCTACGAATGCAAGTGAACGTGAACGCGCCCTTGGCCTGGAAAGGTACGCCGACGCCGACAACACCAGAGGATGCTGCTGACGACGAAGAATGAGCGCGTTCGAGACCACAGATACCACAAATTTTCTTTCTGATATGGATTAAAATCAACGTGAACACACACTCGCCCGCAAAAGGCAACGCCGACGCAGAGGAGCTACCCCGAAAACGAGGGCTCGCGAAGAAGCGGCAAACCGGCAACGCCGACCACAAATTGCTACGGCATGCACACAGTGCACAGAGTGCATTTTGTGTATTGTATGCATGCCGTGAGGCCTTTGTTGTGTACGAATTGGAGCAATGCTTTGTAGTATTCGTTGCCATGCTCCGAATCATCGTGGCTGGTGGTGGCAATGCGGTAGATGCCAGCTTGAAGAAGGATATGGGCATGCCCACATCAGGTGGTTTGAATCATCCTCTGTCACTGCTAGCGAGTGGTATGGACAGTACAATCGCTTACATTTATGTTTACATTCACTTAGCTGAAAGAACGCGTAAGATAGTAAATATCGCTTAAGAAAACACGTTTCACTAATAGCGTACGTGAAGCATACATACATACATACATACATACATACATACATACATACATACATACATACATACATACATACATACATACATACATACATACATACATACATACATACATACATACATACATACATACATACATACATACATACATACATACATACATACATACATACATACATACATACATACATACATACATACACACATACACACTCGAACATACACGTAAACGCATAATCTGTTCGCTGATCACCATTCAATCATGAAAACAAAAAGAAAAAGAAATCGAATTGAATTACGTTGTTCTTTATATCGATGCGTTGGGAATATTTTGCAGGTCATAGGCATAGGCATAGAGCACTGGAATCAAAAACAACTAATAAATGTGTACTACCATCCCGTACTATTCTTCATAGATATGAAGATCTTCCCGTCTGTATCAATACGCAGCTATCACCGTACCCAGTACTGTGCCTGGCGGAATATACACGGACCTCAATATGGCCGGCATAATAGGCGAACCGTATTACGGCGATGGTGATGTCGAGTACGAATGGGTTGGCTGGGAGAGCTGGAAATTCTACAGAAGCTTTGTAGGTAAGTATCTATAACTGTCTCTCAATTTCTTTCTCTTTTTTTACGTTTTCAACAAGTTTTCATTGAAGGTAGTCTAAAGACTTGAAAAAGACGAAAAATAAAACATGTATGTCAATGAAAATACTGATCACAAAAGGGACGTTGACTGGTCGCGATCGTGTAAATAAATATTTGAGTTATTATTTAATAGCTAATTTTCTTTTGGCCTGTAAAAAGCTCTGCCAGTTGGTCAAGGTTAAAGACTTCCTGCTGTGGTTAGCTAATTAAGAGTTACGCCCAACGCTACACCCATGAATTACGTCGCGTTGGGAGTAACAACATCGGCGTTATTTCAAAATCCACAGATACTTGCCAGTTTAAAAATCGTAGTTAGTTTCGGTACTGAGCAATTATAAATTACGAAATCGTTTATGGTAGTAATACCAATACATGACAGCTTTTGGCATACTAGCCAGAGAATTTAAAATTTGAATACCAGTAAAAAAGTAAGACAAGGCACGACAGTAGACTCAATATCTTCCAGTCTAATCTAGAGCATACACCTTACAGGATTTCCCCCCCCCCCAAAAAAAAACCTAAGTAGTTTTAAAGCCCGATTTTCAAACGCCGATTCCTTAAAGGGACAATAAATGATACTGATAAATTATCGTAGACGTGTCAATTAGGACTATGTCAAACTTAAACAGTGGAACTTTCATGTGCTTGGGGGGCCTCATTAATCGGGAATGTAAAAATAACAAAAAGCGATGCACGCACTGTCTCTCAAACTCTCCTTGAAGTCAATAATTTTGCAGCCATTTAATTTAAGGTGAATCAGTGCCATCAAAGAGACAGTAATGCTGAACCTGGCACTTTTCGACAATTTTTTGGGGCGAAGCTCCTTACGCTGCGCGCCGAACGTCCCGTGTCGTAGTCGTAGTAGCCACCTCTCGTTTAGTCCTTGGAATGTCCGCTGGATGGCGCCACTTGTATATAATGAATATACAAGTACCGCCATCTAGCGGACATTCATGACCATCCAGTGTATATGATGAATGTGTAAACGGACGGATGGATGGACGCACAAATGGACGAACGGACGCATGGAAGCTTCGCCTTACTCGCGGATTCACTGCGTGGATATATACGTTGTGTTTTTTTTTTCTACGTAGTAGCGTTAAAAAGCTTGTTAAGCAGAAAATTCGGTGTTTGCGTCGTCGGTCATGAGCAGAAAATCTACGTTGCCCGTGAGTGAAAGATTGATAAAGATGCAAATAAAATAAGTAATAAAAATACTCGGTTTGACAAAGAGTATAATCCATGCGCGCCCTATGAACAGATGCTTCAAGTGTGAGACGTCTTTTGTACGAAACAGAAAATTGCTGTTCTGGGAATTGTGTTACTTACAACTGAGGGTGAGTTATCCTGTTACGTGCTCCAGTGCGTATAGCCAACGGCGCGAGACTGTCCCCCAGCAGTGACTTGAAATTCTATGACGCAAGTGTGCCGTAAAAGCGATCATGTTAACTCGAACATTAGTGGCGTATATAGTGTTATTTGCGAGCACATCTCTGAACTATACACAAAATACTATATGATCAGTACCTACTTCTTCAACCAACGAACACTTGTTAAGCACTTGTTTAGAGCGGTATTTATATATGTGCGCATACTTTTCTGGCCCTGAAAATGTATACTAACGTGGATTATCCGTCTCCCGATATCAGCCAGAATAACAAAGGAATGTTTGTTCGGAAAACTCAGCACTGCGGGAGCCTTCAATACTTGGCTTCTATATTGCAGCGCGTCTCAGTACTCAAATGTCTTACTTTTCGAAACATTGCAACATGTAAAGAAAAAAAAAGGAAAGCTATGCCGTGCCATACAAAGTATCACAACTGAACACAACTAAAAGGACACTAAAGTTAAACATTGTATTGATTTATATTGATGAAGTGTTTTCTGATAACTCTCATGTCGCTTATTTTACCATCTTGAATTCATTAGTATAGTAGAAAACCAGAAAACAACTTTTAAAATTCGCGCCGAAGTCTGCGTGCTTTCGTCACGAATTTCAAGGTGTACCTGTTGCACTTTGTCGAGACAGGGTTGACGAAATTTCCCGAAACTTCGTAAGTTAAGTCTCTGACCCCATCAGCAGGCATTTCGCTTCATTTTTACCCATTCGGAACTACGTAGGCCTTGGTAAGCACTGTCAAAATTCATGACGTCAAGGCGTTTGGTGCAGGAAATTCAAGGAGGCGTCGCCACCAGCATTTTCATTTTGCGCGTTTTCCTGTTTACATAAGCGTCTTTCCGTGGAGAGTGGCGGCGATTTGGAAGTTGTGAAAGAGATATTTGCTAATAACATAAAATCGTTTTCATCTATGTTATCTCTTTAAACTTTTTTGAGAACTGCTTACGCGGGAAACGCGGAACGCCCGAAGTTACATACTAGAACTAAGCTACTACGTAGTCACATGTTTTCTTTGGACCACTTTTGAAATGTACGACGCTAGCGATTGATTACTTTTCCGTGTTCGCAGCTCCTACGTACATAACAGATCACCGCCATGTAAAGCTCGTGGCTCACGGCATCGACACTGCCTGCACAGTGACGTTGAATGGTATCGACGCGCTCAACACGAGCAACATGTTCGTCCGCTACGAGGTCGACGTGACGAGCATGCTAAGGGTGAGCCTGCTGTTCTTTTATATACGCTGGTAGAGTAGTTGTGCTTACACTATTTACACCGGCACCACGTCTCCGTGCAAAGACGATGTTGAAGAGAGACGGGCGCCTCCTGATGTTCTCCGTATGCGAAGCTAAGCTGACGCCGCCGGCGTTTGACGCCGTGACTTCACGCTGAGCCTCGCAACTTCGTAGCTGCTAAGCCGACATGGCAGATCGTCCTATTATTATCGTTTTATTGCGACGGAGATTGCATAGACAAATACACTGTCGGAGGGGCTGCCCTTGCCATTGCTCTCGTGCTCCGTATAAAGTCCAGGTGAATAACACCACTTCGCACACCGTATACGCTCTGTCCGGATATCTCGACAACTTGGGGTTATTTAATGGTCATTTAAACTAAGTGTAACCTCCTCCACCGGGTTGGTTGGGTCAAAGAGACAACACGCTTGACAGTAGACGAAAAAAAAAAAAAAACGAACTTCCTTGAAGTGAAGACGAGCAGTAAACAGACCTTGAAATGTAACATTTGGGACCTTTGGCCGCCATTATTGTAAAAAACTTGCGTGGCAATCGTCATCGGGCCCTGCATTGGGCATTGTACATGGTGATCGGGGCGTGGCTAAATGTACATTGTCACATTCACAAAGGAATATCGCCGACAAAAAGGCATGCTGGCTCTGTACACTGCTAGCGAAACCAAAAATAAAAACAAGATTGATGCGCTCAACGTATGTTATGCGTTGACGTATGTTACGCGTTTCGCTTGTGTTTACAACATATTTGCATTGTGATTTCACAAGCGCGAAAAAAAAAGAAGAAAAAGTAAACCATGCTCTTCACGGTACGGGTCCGACTGAGTATTCACCTTTTCATAAACGCCTCCTTGGGCGCTGCCATAGCCCTCCTTGGGCTGTGCAAATTGGCGCGTCCCCTCGAAAAGGCACTGACAACGCTGCGCCCTTAGCCTTTCTATTCCCGCGCACAGCCCATCATGGAGGTGTTTTTTTCCTTCCTGTGAAAAGGTGTATAAAAGTATGGGGCAGATTTTCGCCCCTCCTCCTCCCCATGAAGGTGATTAGGGGAGGAGGGAGCGGCCACTCCTCCCCCCTCCCCTGTTCTGCTTCCTTTGTGCGCACGTCAATGTATGTACACGGGCCTCCAGAACTTCGCCTGCACCAAAATGCCACCAGCGAGGCTGGAATCGAACAGATGAACCTAAAACGCAGCGCTGGCGTTTGATGATATGTGTCCAGTTTTGGAATAGTTCTGGAAAAGCGTACGCAAAGACAGCATTCGTAACGGTCGCCCGTTATTTCCCTCACTTAACGGGGGCTCGCAAGATGATAGCGTACGACGCATGCGCAGTGGCCACAAGCGCTAACGCGAGGCGGAGTGCATGCCTTTCTAAAGCTTCCCATCATTAGGCTGATTTAGAATAGGGTGTAGAGGAATAACGTTCTTTGGGTACGCTACGCTATTTCCATCACTGACCAAGACGATAACGTATGACGCATGCGCAGTGATGACCACTGTCAACGCGAAGCTTTGCGTACGCTATTCTAAAACTTCCTATCACCACCTTTGAGGCTCTTATACGAGCGAAAGGTCGTGTGCAGTTTTCTAGAGTATATCAAAGATTGCCGTTTCATTCATTGTTTTTTTTTTGTCGACCCGCATACGCAGAGGAACAACAGCATCGTGGTGAGCTGCGAGTCGCCGCTGCGGTACGCCTTGCGCAAGCACGAGCTGCGCGTCAGCAGCAATACGACCCCCGTGTACCCGCTGTGCGCGCCACCGGAACAGAGGGGCCAGTGTCACATCAACTTGATTCGCAAGATGCCGTGCTCGTTCGGCTGGGACTGGGGTCCGTCGTTTCCCTCCACTGGAATATGGTCAGTGTATCTTGCACTACATAGCGGCCACGTTTAAGAGCGAGCGCACTTGCTTATAGATCTCCGTTGTCGGTCTTGCGTGCGGCCAGCATGGTGGTTGCGGGTTCGCTTACGTCACATCTGATGGATTAGGGAGCAATCATCGCAATCATACAAGTCTAAAAGACCTTTCTCAGCATAGAGAGGAGGTCCTTCTTTTGTGAACTGTATTACGGGTATACGCTGACTTCGCTGCCTCGGCAGTGTGTTTTTGGGAGGTCTGGCAAATTTACAACAGGCCAGAAGGAATTACGGTGACACCAGAGAGTCTTCATTGGAAGGGTACATATGAACCCTGCATTGCAGTTTTTGAGTACACAGCGTAGCAAGCAGTAGCAGCAATATTGTGCTCAGTGCAAAGAAATGAACGCGACTGGCTTGTATTTGAGAAGGTAAAAAGGGCGTCTTATCGGTTGCGAGAGGAAGCAGCTTCCTGAACTGAAGCAACTTGCGTAAGAGTACAAAGGCTAACGTCGCTGTCAGTCTTTGTACTATCTTATATAATGTGTTAAATTGCACATGCGAGCACCTAATGAAAGAGTGCCTACATTTACAAGTTTGAAGGCTGTCGGATTCTGGGTATCCAGAGTCACTTGTTGCACTTCCGTGGCTGACGTCATGCTCCAAAAAATAAAAAAAAGGACAATCAGACAAGCACGAAGACGACGAGAGGCACGCAACAGGACCGCGGAAGGAAAGCCGCAATTTCTTATTCTCCAAACCTAGTACAATCTCACGAAAACATGGAAACGAGCACGGGTGATAAGGTATAGTGTTTTTAGCGCCTGTAAAAATGTCCATGCTTTGTGAAAAGACAAATCCGCGTCAGAACCAGTTAAGAAAACAATGCAAGATTGACTACGTGAGAAAGTTTTTCACTTGTTATAAAAGCTTCATTTATCGTGTACCGTTATCTTGTGGCCACGAATGTACTGGGCAGGCAGGTAAATGTGCCTACAGCAAGTTAAGAGAGTATCACTGCGATGTTAATGGAAGCAAAACAGGGACACAAGCATGCATTACAGACAACGTTAAACTGCATCAGTCACGAGGCCAATCTGCGAGCCCTTGTTTGAATGGCGTGAAATTATCACTCGTCACACAGACAAGCATGGTAGGGAGATTATAGAGGCTATGAACATAACACGTGCGGAGAAGGGTTGTGCGTGCGTGGAATCTGGCACCATCAAGCAAAGAAGCTGCTCTTTTAAGTCATTGACAATCGGAACAAGGCTGAGTCGTTCAACGTATATCGCGGAATGTCCCTTCTTTTATGTTTCTTGCTGACGATTCATGTAGGTGCTCGTACGGCGCAGATAGAAGACATGAACAGTTGATAGTCAGCGCTCGTGTCTTCGTGTGTGCATGTTCACACTGCTCTTTCTGTCGCAGCGTCCGCAGTTTAAGGGGTGGTGGGAGGTCGCGCATATTGTCCCGCTAGTCATGACGTCAAAGAAGGCAGTTGTCGGCGTACTCAAGACGAAACTATTTATTCGAGTGAACTTATACAATGGAACTGAAAGTCAAAGTACAAGAAATGCACACTGTACACTGATAGTGTGAAGCAATGTCGTCGGTCGTCGGTAATCTTATCAGCAGTAGAGCGCGACAGTATTTATCAAATGCAGTATCGAAGGCTTGAGCTTTGTCGTTAGTGCCCGCGTTAGTTGCAGAATGAATTCTGTCCTTGTTGCACGCTCAAGCTTCTTTATATTCAACCAACCAATCAATCAATCAATCAATCAATCAATCAATCAATCAATCAATCAATCAATCAATCAATCAATCAATCAATCAACCAATCATCAATCAATCGATCGATCGATCGATCGATCGAATTATCAATCAATCGATCGATCGATCGATCAATCAATCAATCAATCTGCTTATTCAGTCAACTTGGTACAAAAAATTGTAACAAAGTATTTGTACCATTAGCCTATGCGGCTATAGTTACTGGTGCAATCTATGACATGACTATTTTATTACATGTCGGGAGCAAAGGTGCAGTAATCAATAACAGGGTATACCTTAAAAGGTGTATTACATCTAAATAGACAAGCAATAAAGAATAACTAGTGGCATACATTGCAGAAATACAGAAGATAGCAATACTAGAAAAAATATATACAGAGTTGGCGCACAAGACTGCGTTGGAGAATCAAAAGTCGAATTTACATCAAAAATAAGAGAAAGAAAAAGAAAACCAAGATAGAAGTGTATGCCAGGTGAGTCGTAAAAAAGTATGAACGTTGGCTTAACCTTCCAAGAAAATACTGACGGCAATTCCGTCATTACTAAGTGCACGGACCGTGCATGGTAGAGTAAAAACAGCTGTGGTCGATGACCTATTTGTGATCCGGACCAATCAGCTCATCAGAAGATTCGAAAATAATCTGGAAGGTTACCATATACCATGACGCAATTCTTGCGAGGCAGTGGTCATACATGCGGCGAATCGTTTACATTAAACTATGAAAAGAAGCACACGTGACAATACTCACAACGCCGTGAAGAGGTTACGGTTGCAACCCAGGAGCCTTCCTTAGAAACGTGTGAGCATCGCATTTCCTTCCCATCCTTGGTGGCCGATGCCGGCGATACTGAGGCATCACGGTAGTAAAGCCCATTGATGACGTGAGAGCTCCGTCGCGACCTCTGCTCCATTGCAGGGTGCCCATAGTAAATATTTGTCACGCTCGACCCACAGCCCTCAGTCAAAGATGGCGGCCCCCTATATGGACGATGCCAATTTTATTTTTATTTTTATTTTGATTGATTTGTGGGGTTTAACGTCCCAAAACCACCATATGATTATGAGAAACGCCGTAGTGTAGGGCTCCGGAAATTTCGACCACCTGGGGTTCTTTAATTTATGTTTATTTTGAATGAGGTGCATTTATATACAAGAACCTATGTTAACGTTTTGCAGTTGTACTTTGATTACGCCAGAAATGAATCAACACCAAATATCCAAACTTTCACCATTTCTGAAGTCTAAATGCCACATACGTAAACATCCTTGATTTTTGGAGATTTTCCAGTGATAATTGTTGTAAGTTCCCCACCTTGTGATCGAATTCTCGATAGCAAATCATCCTCTGTTTCTCTGGCAGGAAACCGATCGAGCTGGTGGCCTACAACCAAGTTTTTATTCGAGATGTTACTGTGACGACGACACCAAAACGTGAGTCGTAAGCATGCGTCGAAGTAGAGTGACGTTGAGAAATTGGCGTACCGTAGCAGAAGCTGAGACAGATGAGTTCGTCACGTGATAACTGCTGGTGACAGCAACGGTAAATGTGTTCACGTCTGAAAGCACATACATATTTTTTTCCATTGCAGGGACAAAAACGAGGCAGTTTATATCTACAAGCAGTTAATATTTGTTACGTTTTGTTTCACTGATGCGCTAATCAGTCTGTATAAATATAGCCTTCATTGAAGTTCAAGGGTGCTGGTCACGTTAGAAAGACCGCAAACACGAAAAAAAGAAGCTGTCGCATAATGGCTGGCTGTTTTTAACGTTATATTATTCAGGAAAGCGTAAGTTATTTAGGGTTTTGAAGATGAAATTAAATTTTGATACAATTTTTTCTAAGGTCTGTACACGCTATACTTGTACGTCCTCAACTTTTTCACATTTTGAGCACAGTTCTTCCAGGCACAAAAATATACTCGACGTAGTAGTGTTGGTAATATTTTTATCTGTGCTGCAGTTCTGAATATTGTGAATTTACTTTTGCCTATTTGCTATACAGGAACGAAATACCAAGTGCATAAATGGGATCTAGAAGTCGGCGTGTTCTTCACGCTGTCTCGACGTGCGCCCAAACACGGCACCATATCGGTCAGCCTGGGCGCCACGTTTTTGTTCAGTTCAATGGTGCGATTCGCGAATATGGCAAATAGCAACAAGTCGCAGGAGGATTACAGCGGAAAAGTGACGGTGCCCATCAGCCTTACAGATGTGAGTACCTTATTTAGCACGTTATGTAATCATTAGTCGGACAGCATACTAGTGTGCGGAAGCATCGCAGTACAACAAAACTTAATTCAACCCCCCTCCAAAAAATTAATAAAAGGAAGCAGCAGAACAATTTTGTTCGTGCACAACAGCTCGCTCGCGTAGTCACAACGGCTCTTTGATATGCCCGACCTCTAAATTACGAAATCGCAACAGTTTTATTGTTTATAATTATTTATTTTTCCCCTCCGATGGAGCTTGAGAAATGACCGGTGCTAAGTGTGAAACAAATGAACAAAAAAAAAAGCCATCTGCTCATGCAAATAAAGCTCGTAATTGTGCAATGACGGTCAATGCATCACAAATCTTGAGGGTACATTAACAATTGACAGAAACAATCTATGGTTTAGCTACTCGGATGTGCGAGTCAAAATCGAGTCGCGCAAATTTTGCTTGATTTTCGAACCACTTTGTGATCGTCATCAATTCGGTAGCATGCGATGTCTTGATGAGTCAGTGCAATCGATCGCGTAAAAGACAATGTCGATACAAGTAGGGGAGCAGTGTTAGACGCAACAAATAAATATATAAATAGGTTATTAAATAAATAAATAAATAAATAAATCATAAATAAATACAATAGTAAAAAATGTTTCCAAGCAGTTTTTGTTGTGTTCACTGTCAGTATGGTGCAGCCACTGTGCGCCTTTAAACACTAACCAACTAACTAACTAACTAACCGACCCAGACCGACCGACCGACCGACCGACCGACCGACGACCGCCGACGACGACCGACCGACGACCGGACCGACCGACCGACGACCGAAACCGACCCGGAGCCGACCGACGACCGACAGCCGACTCGACCGACCGACCCGATCCGAACCGACCGACCGACCGACCGACCGACCGACCACCGACCGACCGACCGCCCGACCGACCGACCGACCGACCGACCGACCGACCGACCGACCGACCGACCGACCGACCGACCGACCGACCGACCGACCGACCGACCGACCGACCGACCGACCGCCGACCGACCGACCGACCGACCGACCGACCGAACCGACCGACCGACCGACCGACCGACGACCGACCGACCGCCGACCGACCGACCGACCGACCGACCGCCGACCGACCGACCGACCGACCGACCGACCGACCGACCGACCGACCGAACCGACCGACCGACCGACGACCGACCGACCGACCGACCGACCGACCGACCGACCGAGCCGACCGACCGACCGACCGACCGACCGACCGACCGACCGACCGACCGACCGCCCGACCGACCGACCGACCGACCGACCGACCGACCGACCGACCGACCGACCGACCGACCGACCGACCGACCGACCGACCGACCGACCGACCGACCGACCGACCGACCGACCGACCGACCGACCGACGACCGACCGACCGACCGCCGACCGACCGACCGACCGACCGACCGACCGACCGACCGACCGACCGACCGACCGACCGACCGACCGACCGCGACCGACCGACCGACCGACCGACCGACCGACCGACCGACCGACCGACCGACCGACCGACCGACCGACGCCGACCGACCGACCGACCGACCGCCGACCGACCGACCGCCGACCGACCGACCGACCGACCGACCGACCGACCGACCGACCGACCGACGACCGACCGACCGACCGACCGACCGACCGACCGACCGACCGACCGACCGACCGACCGACCGACCGACCGACCGACCGACCGACCGACCGACCGACCGACCGACCGACCGCCGACCGACCGACCGACCGACCGACCACCGACCGACCGACCGACCGACCGACGACGACCGACCGACCGACCGACCGACCGACCGACCGACCGACCGACCGACCGACCGACCGACCGCCCGACCGACCGACCGACCGCCGACCGACCGACCGCCGACCGACCGACCGACCGACCGACCGACGACCGACCGACCGCCCGACCGACCGACCGACCGCCGACCGACCGACCGCCGACCGACCGACCGACCGACCGCGACCGACCGACCGACCGACCGACCGACCGACGACCGACCGACCGCCCGACCGACCGACCGCCGACCGACCGACCGACCGACCGACCGACCGACCGACCGACCGACCGACCGACCGACCGACGACCGACCGACCGACCGCCCGACCGACCGACCGACCGCCCGACCGACCGACCGACCGACCGACCGACCGCCGACCGACCGACCGACCGACCGACCGACCGACCGACCGACCGACCGACCGACCGACCGACCGACCACCGACCGACCGACCGACCGACCGACCGACCGACCGACCGACCGACCGACCGACCGACCGACCGACCGCCGACCGACCGACCGCGACCGACCGACCGACCGACCGACCACCGACCGACCGACCGACCGACCGACCGAACCGACCGACCGACCGACGACCGACCGACCGACCGACCGCCCGACCGACCGACCGACCGACCGACCGACCGAACCGACCGACCGACCGACCGACCGACCGACCGCGACCGACCGACCGACCGCCCGACCGACCGACCGCCCGACCGACCGACCGACGACCGACCGACCGACCGACCGACCGCCGACCGACCGACCGACGACGACCGACCGACCGACCGACCGACCGACCGCGACCGACCGACCGACCGACCGACCGACCACCGACCGACAGACGACGATCCGACCGACCGACCGACTGTATAAACATATGGCAGGTAGTCTCTAAAGCCACCTGAACGTATAACATTGCGCATTGGAGCAGACTTGGTGTTAGCGTTGGCGAGTGCATGTTTTTTGGAATGTAAGTTTGACTGGAAGCATGAATTGTATGTAATTAGTTAATACTGTCAGTCAAACTTCGATCTCCTGCTTCCATAGGACATGGAAATAGAGCGATGGTGGCCATCTGGCTACGGGAGTCAGAAGCTGTACCACCTGAACGTGTCCATGTCTGTCGATGACGAACAGTGCGACAAGGTCATCAGATTTGGATTTCGCACCGTTGAGCTCGTGGAAGATGACATCTGTAAGTGTCCCTCCAATGCATTTCAATCGTCGCCCTCTTAGTAAAGGTATCAGAGTGCTTGAGTGCTTTCTGCCGCCCGTGACACAGGGACTTTGTATAGGAGTACGCTTAAGCGTGTGCATATCAGTTCATCAGTTCTTTTATATCTCATTCACTATAAAACTTGGGACACAGTACTGTGAAATGCTAGCTCCTCGAGCGATGATAGCCACCTACATAAGCTTGATCACGTTTTAACTTTCCGTGATTGTGCATCTAATAGCAAGTATGCTATATGCATCCTTAATATCCATGCAACTACGTGTGCGTGTGGCTATATACATGCAGCCGATAATCCTTCTTTGTTCATATCTGAAAATCGCATGGGGATGACTTGGTGCACGTTGGTAACGTATCATGAAAGTATGCACAAAAAATAGCGCTGATTCACAAGACGTCAGCGCTATGTCTTGTGCATACTTCCGTTGTCCCCGACTATTTGTGCGCAGTAGCATTTCATGATGATTCCAGCGAGGTTTTTAAGGCAGTTAAATACTACAATAATTGTGATAAACACTACGATAGTTTCGATAATTGAAGGACTATAAGGTACTGCTACCGCATGCTAAGTACACGGGCAACTGCTATCTATCTATCTATCTATCTATCTATCTATCTATCTATCTATCTATCTATCTATCTATCTATCTATCTATCTATCTATCTATCTATCTATCTATCTATCTATCTATCTATCTATCTATCTATCTATCTATTTATCTATTTATTTATCTATTTATCTATCTATCTATCTATCTATCTATCTATCTATCTATCTATCTATCTATCTATCTATCTATCTATCCATCTGTTTTTTTATCTCGATGCGCGCTTCCCAGCCAATGACACTCTAGGAACGGAGTTCTACTTCAAAATCAACGGTGTGCCAATATTCGCCAAAGGAAGCAACTGGATTCCAGCGGACATCTTTCCAGAGAGGGTTACGGAGGCATACGTCAGAGACCTGCTGCAGTCCGCCAAGGTGGGCTTATTCCTTAACACCACCCTACTTACCATGCATCCAGGTTGTATCCAAAATATATTACCTCAAGTTATAACCCACTTCCTGAGCAATTATGTCTGATATTTTACGTCCCAAAACCAGGATATGATTATGAAGAACGCTGTAGTGGAGGGCTGCAGAAATTTTGACCATCTGGTGTTCTTTAATGTGCACTAACAACGTACAGTATGCGGACCTCTATAGCATTTAGCTACTCCTAAAATGCGATGGGCGGGATCGAACTCGCGTTTTTCAGACCCCCAGCCTTGCACCGTAGCAACTAAACCACCGCAACGGGCACTTCGCAAGCAGTCTTGTCTGTACGAGTTACCCGTTATAACAGGCAATGTCCGATTCCTAAGGAAACACTATGACAAAAGATACTAACAAAGATGCTTATTGGACTGTTTGAAAATTTTAGAGCTCTCGAAAAGGCAAACATTAACATGAACGAGAGACACCATGGCAATGTGTGAGCACTAGTATGGTTTTTTTTCATCACTTTAGCATCAACCGTTAAAAGGCAGAGTCCTGCTACTGCTGACCGAATAGGGGTACGTTTGTCTGTACTATCCCTCTCCCTCCGTAGCTTTATGGTTTTACGCTGTAATTGTTTCTTGGCCGCGGCGGCTGTGTTCCTATGAGCACGATGTAAAAAAAAATCCCCCGGACATATGGGTTTATATAAATTCTAAGATACACTGTGTCATCAAGGTTATTACAGATATCGCTGCCCCTCTGCCAGGGGCGCAGCCAGGGGTGAACACCGGGCCAGTACCCCCCCCCCCCCCCCCGCCCCTGATATTACTTTTTGCCACGGCATAGAGTGCAAAAAATTACCATTTTAAGGGTGCCCTCCCTGAAAGCAAAGGGCTGCCCCCCCCCCCGACGAAAAAAAAAATCTGCATCTCCTAATCCCCGAGTAGGTTCTGATTGTAAAGCCAAAAACTTTCCGATAGCTTACGTAGCCGTACGGTACAAGATGCCACTCGATTAGTGCATGTCGATTTTGTTGACCGAAAGTAGTTCAGAGGCTTTTTGTTTTGGGGGCCACAATTTCATCCTGCACAGCGGGGTTTTTCGAACGTGGCCTAACTCTCCCCCCCACAAAAAAAATACAAAGAAAGAAGAGAGAAAAAATCACAGCATATCCATGAGGTGAATTATGATGAGTGGGGCAAAGCGGACGGACGGATGGATGCATGGACGGATGCACGAATGGATGGACGCGCGGATGTACGGATAGACGTCTGGACGTATGGATGGATGGACACGTGGACGAACGCAGGGACGGGCGCAGGGGCGAACGCACGGACAGATGGATGGACGAACGCATGGTAGAACGCAGGGACGGACGCAGAGACGGGTAGACGCATAGATGAACGCAGGGATAGGCACACGGACGGACGCACAGATGAGCGCACGGATCGACGCTAGAGAGGACGGACGGATGGATGCGTGGACGGACGCACAGAACGCACAGATGGATGGATGAACGCACAAATGAACGGATGGACGCATCGACGGTAGGAAGCGCGGAAGGACTGATGGACGCTTCGCCCCACTCATCATCATTCACTCCGTGCATATGCTGTGATTTTTATTATTTATCATACTACAAGTAACGTCCCCTTGTTTCGTGCCATTTGCATTTTTCAGCGTTTATGCATTTCGTTATATGTACAAGGACCACCCTATACAGTCGCTTCAAGAACTAAGGAGAGGTCGCTACATATATACGATTACGACGGCACGCTCAGTCCACGCCTTAATGAGCTTCGCCCCTAAAAAGTACACCATGTCCCGCTAAAGGGATCCATGCGTGGACGCGAAGCAGCGGGGAGATGATTCGCTTGAGCAGTAGGCAGTGCACTTCATTGAGAACGAGTGTTTGTGTGAACACTGAGATCGGCGGCGGCGTTGACGCTGGCGCTCATCGCGGCATAGCGCAGGAGAGAAACCTGGGGAGCCGCAAAGCACGCAGTGATGGACCATGCAGTGTTTCCTACTGAAGCATTCCAATCGCGGCTAATGGGCAATGGCAGACAGATGATGCCGGTGGGACACGGATACTAACTGTCCACTTTTAGTTAACGCGCATGCAGCGAATTTTCATTGTTCGACAACGCACAGGAAAGATGTCCCACCAGCACTACCTTGGAGGAACAAGATCCAGTGGCTATATATACGAGGATAGTTGTGCAGAGCGAAGGGTCGTTTTTTTTTTTTCAATCAAGGAACTCGCCATAGCAGACTGCCTGCTTCGGCGTTGCGAGGTGGGAGATGGGGGGAGCATACTAGAAGAGAGAGAAGGCAGGGAACGCGCATGCGCAATAGGGGTGTAGACGCCGCGGGAGGGATGCCTAGAGAAGAGAGAAGGGGGTGCAAGCGTAGGCTACCAGACGCTGCCTACGTCGGCGTTGCAAGGAGAGGAGCGTAGAAGAGGAGAGAGAGGGGAGGAGACGTGCATGCGCAGTGGAGTATAGACGCCGCATGAGTGAGGGACAAGAGAGAGAGCCCCCCGCATAGGATGCTTCGCACCTAAAAACTAGCACAGTGTAAATGCGCAAAACGGCAAAACACACAAGGCGAACACAAGCTATGCATTGTCATTTCGTTCGTCCAAATGTTGTTCACGCCTGACGTTTTATTATTTTTAGGGGCGAAGCTCCTTAGGGCGTGGGCTGTGCATCCCCTGTAGCCTGTATGTAGCCACCTCTAGTTTAGTTCTTGCAGTGTTCCCTAGATGGCGGTACCGTCCCCTGTATGTAGCCACCTCTAGTTTAGTTCTTGCAGTGTTCACTAGATGGCGGTACCGTCTCCTGTATGTAGCCACCTCTCGTTTAGTTCTTGTAGTGTTTACTAGATGGTGGTACTTGTAGCTGATGATGAAAAGATGCAAGATGTTATAAACTAGAAAGCGGTACTTGTAGTTGATGAAAGACGCGAGATCTTATAAAATAAGAATGATGTCACTTCACAGACCATAAAGCCGTCATAATGAAGGGACATCGCAAGCCATCCATCGTCTAAGAACAAATAAAAGTTGATTTGTGTATATACACACACAGCGTTTCTCACGTCTTTACATGATGATCGACTGGGCGAATTACACGGAAGATTCACAGTTTACCGATGAATCCCTCCGGAGCTTCGCCCATTCATCATCATTGACCCCGTGAATATGCCGTAATTTTTTTTGTTATTGTACCATTCAGTGTATTCCCAGAAGTACAACTTAGTATCGGTTCCTCGAATGAAGAAATCAGTACACAGAAGTGCCTTTTTTCAGCTAATAACTTTCATTGCGACCATTGCAACGAAAGAGCTCGTTTCGTAACAGCTGGTCTCATTGCTTAGTGGATTCAACTAGTCGTGATGTTCGTGGGTGTTTAAATGCGCTGATAGGCGGCGCAACAGAACTGAAAACAAATGATATTTCATGTGCTCGCAGGATGCCAACATGAACATGATTCGTGTTTGGGGCGGTGGTACTTACGAGACAGACCACTTCTACGACCTCGCCGATGAACTTGGAATTTTGATCTGGCAAGACCTGATGTTCTCCGTCAGCCAGTATCCCTCAGACAACAACTTCCTCCGCAGTGTTGCCGCTGAAGTGAGGCAGCAGGTTGGTGTGTGCCTTCGGAATTGTTTTACCGCGAAGCTGTTTCGTCGCCAGGAAGAAAAGGGGGATATGTATTATGGGTGGCTCGCGTCTGCATGTAGACCAAAACAGTGAAGGGGGCAAATGTAGTCATGAGATGTTTTTCGCAAGCTACGCAAACACGTTATGGAAACGTTGAAATACGGAACAGGCTGACGAGGGCGCATACGCGAGAATTGTACGCGCGTACGGAAAGGAACCGTGTCGTATTTCCGTAACGTGTGTCCGTAGCTTGTTAAAACCCTCTACTGTCACTCGACCGCAGCTGGCGGAGCACGCTCAGATTGCGCACGCGCAGGTGACGTAACATGCACACGCGGTGCTGGCTAGTGGCGCTACTGTGGTGCGAGAAACCGGAGAAGGCGAGGCACCGAGAGGGCGCAGCGCGGGCCTGTACACTAAAGCCCCTAGATCAACGGACTTTAGTGTACACGCGCTATCCGCACAGCCGCACCACCTGAGGCGGGACTCGTGCGGGACGCAAGCTGGGGCGAAAGAGCGTCGCCGCGATACGCTCCCCAAGTGGCTTTGAAAAGAGGAAAAGGGAAGAAAAAAGCGCAGTCCCGTTACTGCCTCTGTTACGCTCCTTCGTTCTCCTCTTGTGTGCGGCAGATGTTCCGGCACGTGCGGTGCGACTGTGCGGATAGCGCGTGTATGCGGGAGGAGAAAAGGCTGAAAATGCGAAGCAGCAACTCGAATGCACACATCCGAGTTGAGGCACTGCGCCGTGCTCCCGACCGGGTTGCAGAAATTAGGTGCCTTTTCTCATCTTCTAACGACTACCAACACCACCATTCGAGTTGGACCGTATATACAAAGGTGGTTCTCCCACCGAGTGCTTTACCCACTACGCCACGAGGTGAATGCGTTGAAAGATCATGAGTACGAACAAGAACGTCAATGTTTGCAGTTGCTTAAGCCGGAGAGACGAGCGACGATGCTTGTGCAGTAGAAGTGGGAATACAGCTACGCCGGTAATCCGTCCCCATATGAATGCTGAGAGAGAGAGACTTTATATGCGCATAACGCGGAGCCTACCAAATGGTCGGGCCCCTATTCCAGGGCTCCGCTGGCCCTGGCCATCATCTCTACCTGTTGGACCAGCCATCGCTGATCAGCAGTGGCCGAGATGGACAGCAGTGCCTCCCATTGTTCCTCTCTGTTGTTCATGTTGTGGGGTTCTTCATTGTGATGTGTACACTCCCACGTGATGTGAAACAGAGTTGATGTGGCCCCACACCACGGACATATATCTCTGTATGCTGTGGGGTAGAATACATGTTGAGGACCACCGACTTTTTCGTAGGGTTTGTGTGCGAACAAGACCGAAGCCGGAGGCTTGAAGGAATCGAAGGCGTCAAACGAGGTATGTGTCGTTGCAGACAAAGTTCCGGCAATAGGCGTCGTCCTCGTCAGGGAAGGGTCGGATACTTTATAACCTGTTTCGTGTATTAATCACGGAACTCAGAACCTATATACGTCACGAATCATACAGACGAAATCTAGTTAGCGCATGTGCAGCGGAGGCGAACTTAACACAAGTGGCGATCTTGATCTTCAGATCGAAGCGATTAATAACATTACACAGTGGCTTCTCACCAGGGGCAAAGCTTGCCACTCATTTTAGGGTAAGCGGCCGCTTGATATAAAACCGAAGAGGGGGTCCTAACTCATGCGTTTTAGTAGTTAATCACTGTTACCACAAGAACACCATCACAGCATGCACTTAATTTTTGCTCTCAGGGTTCCCACTCATCTGTTTAAGTGATTTTCTAATGGTAATAATGCAAACATCTGATGTTTTACGTCCCGAAACCGTGATATAATTATGAGAGACGCTGTAGTGGAGGGGTGCGGAAATTTTGACCACCTGGTGCTCTTTAGGATGCACTGACATCACGCGGTGCCATTTTGCCTGCATCTAAATGCGACCGTTGCGGCCGGTATCGAACCCGCGACCTTCAGGTTTGCAGCTTAGCACTGTAACCCGCCGAGGCGTACGGTTTTCTCATCGTAATAGATGAAAAGAATAAAAACAAATGATGAACTACCACACTTCAGGTATCGGCACAATTCACTGCGCGGCGCTTTTGTAAGCAATGGGTTGAACGGCTGGTGGCAACGCGGATCGGAAGCGTTGAAGGAAATAGGGGGGGCAAACCATGCCACATCACACAAGAATGCATGGATCACGCCGAAAAGCAAGAAGAGCATACCGCGAGGTTCGCTTGGGAAGCACAGCTGTCAAGTCCTGTCCTCGGGCTCCACCTAAGGCTGATCCGGAGGGCAGAAATGATGGCGAGGCAGCGCGGCCCTGAAATAGAAGCACGACCACACGGCGTTGCCATGTGTCGGAGGCAACGAAGTCTTTTGTTCCAAATAAGGTTCTTCTTCTCATATGACACACATTCAAGCTAGTACATGAATTTTGTGTGTTCATGCATATACCATAAGATATATATTATTTATTTCGAGACACATGGACTACCAGGGGCAAAAAAAGGGCACAAAAAGATTGAGATATCCTTGGAAGGGCACACTGTACAATCAATATGCGAAAGTGAAGATGTAACACGCAAGGCTTTTTTTTTTTGCGTATTCTTAGCGTTCAGTTCAGAAATTGGTGGTTGTATGAATAGTCACAAGCATTTATTCCCTTTTAACCTCGCGCAGGTTCGTCGTCTTCAACGTCATCCGTGTCTGATCGTGTGGGTTGGCAACAACGAGAACGAAAATAATTTATTCGTTAACTTCTGGTGAGTAACACACCGACGCTATGATGTCCCGTCACATTTGGGCTAAGCAATACATAAATTATGCAGCTTTACGCGTCAAAACTGCGATATCAGAATTTTTTGTGATGGGGAGTCTGCAGTGATGCTGAGCACCCAGTGTTTAACATGCGGTGAAGTGTAGGTACACTAGTGATCTTGCATTTCGCTCCCATCTAAGTGCAACCCCGGAGACCGGGAATCGAACCCGCGCCGTCGAGCTTAGATAAGCCTCCGTGACCAGACCTGCGGTGTTTCGTTGTGGTGGTCTCCGGAATCCTGGACAAAGTGCCAACCCCTGCAACACCTACAATGATAATATTTTTGTTCAGAAATTCGGAGGCAGTGCTGTACAATATTTGACTTATGTGTCTGGTAGGGACACTCGCTTGTGCATACTGCAGTACACCCTGGGTAAACTTTGCATTTTGTCGCGCAGCCAGCGCGGATCTCGGGGACCATGCAGAACAAAGTGTGTGTTTGAGATCTTCTCCTTCAGGTGCCGCAACGATCGCAGCTGTTCACGATTTTTCTATGTACTCAATCGCTTAATCTTTAATATTTATTCTCGCAGTTAATTGACTCTCACCTGAAGTAAAGTTACGCTCCGACGTCATGTGTACCCTGTACAATATAGCTCTTGACACTGCGTGAAGTTAATGTGCACGTTGTGCACATTAAATTTGTGCAGTGTTAACTTGAACCAGATTTATATTAAAAAAAAACCTTTCCTGAACACTCCGAAATCTGGAAGTAAGTGCTCGATCTCACTTGCTCAGAAGAAAACCAAAGTGTAATTCGGTGCTCGTGCCATAAAAAAAAAGTTGCTTCTCTCTCTCTGTTCAAAGCGAACGTACAGCGCACCGGAAGAGATGACAGCAACGACGTTAAACTCCGCGTTTTCTTAGTGTCAATTTGTCAGCGAGTGATCTTTTCTGTAATTCGCTATTGACTGTTTCCTTGTTCCTTTTGATAGGGGAAACGCCAAAAGTGGTTTGAATGACTATCGACGGCTGTACATTTACACCATAAAAAGAGTCATTGACAGAGAAGATAGGTCACGCCCTTTCCTGTCCTCGACTCCCAGCAACGGCAGGAACGGAAGCCCCGTCTTGCACAACACTTCGCTTCCTGTACGATTGCACTTGGATATGGACGACGTCTGGAAGTATGGTTCTCCGAACAGCGAAGAGCGTGGCGACTGTGAGTACTGCTGGAGTTAACCGCATTTTTAAAGGAGCCCGGCAACGCATTCTCAGCATGGTCTGGAAATGCTGCCACTTGACAGTCCTGAAAACACGCGAGCCAAACATTACAGCGCAGCACGCAGCTTGGAATTGCGGGCTTGCTTGGGAGATTCGTCGCTGAATGGTTGTGTCGTCCGCATTATACTAGGCGCCAGCGTAGCTCTCGCCGATCGGCCCACCGCCCGCTAACTACTGGTGCCGTGTAGCTCTGGCCAATCGGCACCCCGTCCTCCGGCTCCTTTGACCGTGTCCCAATCTTTCACTTTCTTCAATCTTTACTTTTACCTTTTTAAACCCTCTTTTTCCCATTCCCTCGTGAATTGCTGCTGAGGTGTCGCGCTTAGCTACAGACAGTTGCAGGGCTCACTTTTCTTTTCTATTCCAATTTTCCGCGCTTTTGGTAGAGGTGACAATGCTTGGGGTTCATGTGCGTAGATTTGGGTTCACATTAAAAAACTTCATGTGGTCGCAATTTCTGGAGCCCTCCTCTACGGCGTCTCTTATAATCATATGGTAGCTTTGGGACGTTAAATCGCAACAATTAATAATATTCACGTGCTGTTTGGGACGAGAGAAAAAAGAAATCAACTACACCATTCCCTCTATAGCTTCGCTCACAGTTGCCAGATGAATGAATGAATGAATAGACTTTATTTAAAGTCCGGCAGTTTTACCGGGTGAGGGGGGAAGAGGGGTACAAAAATTTTTTTCGATGGTTGATTCGTGTGGTAGTAAACTCTCTTAATGAAGGCATTCACTGGTTACCTGAAAATGTGTTGCAGGACCCCTTTAACCGAAGCATTAATGACACGGGCTCTGAATCGTGGATGCTTAGGGTGTCATTTGTGAACCCGTTGAAGTTATGAGGGACTCCTTGTAGTGAGAGAAAGCGGAAGTGGGAGGAGTTGAAGATGGGTCATATACAGACGTGGCATGCAGCATGAAATAGGAGCACCTTTTTTCTACACGACAATGAATGCTAAAACAAAAGTGCAGCGTGAATTCCATGTCAACAGGTTGTCAGTAAGCTTAGTGGTTTCAGCCATATTCAACCTGTTTTGTAGCTATATTGGCGTGTCAAATGCGCAAGCTTGGAAAAAGCGTGCGTGCACGCACATGACGTTGAAAAATTCAACGAAAGCTTTACAGCCATATCACGAAGGAGGAGGAGCGTAAGTCGGCTCCTCCGCAGTGCAAGCAAATTATGCGGCTAAGTTTAACAAAAAACGGAAGGGGCCGGCAAGAAGCAAAACGTGTTTTTGAAATTCCTGAGCTATTCTAAGTGGATGATTTGTGTCCGATGTTGTGGCGGTGCTGAACATGTGTCGTTTTATTGTCGCGAGAATGAGCCTCACTAGGAGGGAGAGGGAAGTGTGGGATGCCAGAAGTGAAGGTGGAGGATGTAGAGGGGTGAGCCTTTGAGGTACGCGACACAGAAGAATATGGTGATGCGCGCAGTGCTGTGTGAAGTAGCGTGTCAGTGTTCAGGAGTTCATGCTTTCAAGATGGCTAACCTTTCTCATTCTACCAACGAAGAAGCCACCCGTCGTCAGCGTCAGTGGTAGTCAATGCAAGAACGGACATGTCGTCGCCAAGCCAACCGCAGTGTTCGCGCAAGAGGGGCCGAGCGAAGCTAAGCGCCAACGAACGGAAGACGTGAAAAATGCAGAAGTACTATATAGCACGATGGAGGATGGACATAAGCTTCGCCGTTTCGAAAGGGTTCGCGAAGTGGAGTTCACTGGGTTTCCTTTTTTAGGAGCGAAGCTCGTCAGGTCCGCACCGCGCTAGTGTTGTGGAATGGACGCCTCCATTCCATTCCAATCCCATTACAGAGAATTATAACTTGTCGCAACGCAATTGCTTTTAATACATCGAAATGAAAAAAAAAAGCTTAGCCCATTTCCACTCCTGGAATGACCGGGCAGTTCCATTTCATTCCTGTAATTCTGCAACGTAGGAAAGGCATCTTGACAGTTTTATTGAGTTAAGAATAAACACACCATAAATCTGATGTGATCACATGCATAAAGAACTGCAAAAGTGTGCAAAACATGCTACCGAAACCGAGAGATTGTGCCTTGGTGCTCCTGCAGTACAATTGTATCTTCTGCAGTACAACTACCCTACTAATTCCCAAAGAGGCAATTATTTTGATACCTACAGTATATGCATGGCCAGTGTCTTTGAAAGAATGGTAATGTTTTAAGATTGTTTAGCAATAAATTTAATACTGCTAAAATGACGACCTAGCGTATTTTTTTGCCGACAAAAGTAGTGTGTAAGAAGACTGAGCAGGCTCGCCTCACATCTGGAGTGGTCATGAATAATGGGAAAACTAAGATTCGGGTAGTGGGGAACAAAGCCCATAGATCTGTTGGCATTAGTTACAGCAGTGCACCACTCCCTTACCCCGTGGCTTCTGCGTCGAATATGGTACACCGGGCCGCATTTTTCGTCAGCATTAATGCTTTTCGAGAGCGCCTAGCAAGGATGAATATGGTGAGAAAAACTTTCTGTGTTCGCGTGTGCGCAGGTATGCAATATCCTCCTTGTATTACAGGTTATTTACGTGAGTCCGGTACAAAACTGCTCAAGATATAAACATCAGGCTGTACGTAGAGTGTTCGACACTTTTGTGGGGGGCGTCGGTGGCGTATGCAAGGATGCGGGAAGATGTGTGTTGGGAGGTTAACGTTTACCCCCCCCCCCCCTTTTTTTTTTGAATTTTTTCAAATTTGCTCGCGTATACAGACGCGCCCACGTACAAACGCACGCTCAAGCATACATAAAGCGTGATTGACCCCCCCCCCCCCTCCTACCCTCCTGCGCCTTCGCCCCCGAAAAAAGTTCTTGCTATACCCTGGGCGTGTATAAAGAGGAACCAAAATGCAGGCCAAATTTGCTTCTCCCTTCAGTATCTGTTCTGATACTGCATTTGTTTGTACACTAACTTATGCCTTTTGATGTGGCGTCGTCAAGAGCAGTTTTTCAATGAAGGGGAACATAGCTGCACTCAGTGGTGAAGGCGGACGTTACCTTCGGCTGCCTTGTTAACCCTTTCTATATGGCTGCGTGTACTCACATTTGTGCTTTTTCCCTTTAGGCGCCGAACCAAATTGTATGAAACTCCGACTATGGCACGTATAGTTTCAGCGCAAAGCTTGCAGCGTGGAGCTTGTTTGTTTCCACTGTGCCATTTTGGCTGACTTAGGCGCAGGTACCATTGCCATCGTGAAAAAGAATAGGAAAAAAAGAAGGAAAGAGGGAAATAAAGAAAGAAAAGAAAGAAGGAAAGAGTGAAACAAAAAGAGAGAAAGGTAGTACGTCATTCATGCACTCGCCAGGGTTCTCTTTCCCCAAGTCTTCCCAATCGCGCCGGGGCTCTGGAAGTTTTCAAACTTCGTTTTTGGCGTTCCGCCTGCTTGTAGCCCTTTCGTGTGGGAAATAGCCTTGCTTATGTACACCCCCGTGTAATTGCCTTGGTGCATCCGCTAATGGCAACATTTCATGTGTTTTTCCACTTAAGTTGTCAACAGGTTGTCTTCACATCACATTAAGGAATAAACAGAAAGGTGTAATGAAGGATCTGTCCGATACTGCGTAAACATTATTTTTAGCTGAATCACTTGAGCAACATATATGGTAACACAAGCCAACGCTAGGCATGAAAAATGTCTGATACTGAACGAGGATGGAAAAAAATGGCAGTGGCTTAGCTCAGCTATGCCAGGATATACGTAGCGTTAGCAAAGGTTCAGCTGATTATTCTTCCTTCTCCATGGCTATACCACAGTTGCAAACGCCGGTCAGAGGCGCTATCAAGCGGCTCCAGCGCAGTGTCAGATGGCGACTGCACAGGGAAGGCGCGCGCGTCGGCGTCCACATGTCTACCAAGGCTATGACGGCACTCCTCTGGAAAGCGCACACCGGCGGCGGCGAGTCGCGCGCGGCGGCCGCGGCCGAGTGCGAGGGAGGTGCCGGCTCCGGTGCGTGACACCACTGATCGTCTGCGCAGCGCTTCAAATTGTGCGCACACCGGCGGTACAGTGAACCAAAAGAACTTAGCGCAATGAGCGGAGGGGGCGCCGCCTTGCTTCGCGTGTCACACTGAATGGAACCCGAAGTGGTGGCGCTGTTGTCGACCACTCTTGAAAGCTACCGGTGTGGGCGCGCACGGCTACTGCATTTCGTTCTGGCTTTTCGTTCTGCGTGGTTGCGTTTCGTGCCTGTACTTATGTGAACGTGGCCACTTGCGTCAATGAGTGCAAAGCAACGTCTCAATCACTGATATATGCTCCAGGCTGCATGCAGCACAGGATACGCGCGAACTAACAGCGCGAAGAAGCTGTCGATATTCAAGGCGCCTGCAGACCCGTAACGGAGATCCACGTGGGAAAGAAACCTACATAGAGCCTACAAGCCGCAAACCGCAGACTGCGCGGTATGTGAGCTGCATTTTGAGCAGCGCTTCGTTGTCAGGGACTACGTACACCGTATAAATGGTGAGGAAGTTCGCATTCCACGTGGGACGCCTACGCTCCCTCCGGACGCAGTCCCCACAATTTTGCCGAGTCTGCCAGGTTACCTGAGCAAACAGCCCACTCGCAAGAGGAATGAGCGAAAAAGTAAGCGCAATGAAGAAGTCCCGCAACGAAAAAAAGGCACGTGGGGAGGTTGCAGAGGTGACAGACGCTGACGAACCTACGAACAGCAATGAAGTCTGTGTGGCCGCGACTGTCGCTGCTATGATGGAACTCAAAACGCTTGGGAAGCGCTGGACGCTACATTAACTTCACGACGCAGACGGAGTATGTTTTACTCCATGTTCCCTCGACTCGCTGTGGTAAAATTGATGCGACCGAGAAGGTCTTGACGAGAATGAAGTCACTGATTGCTATGATGACAGTAAGGTACACAGCCGAGGCTCTCAGACCTGACTCGGCAGGTGAGAAAAACATCAAGAAAATCCTCAGTTTCCTGGACGCCTGGGAGCGCCATGCTGATAAAAAGAAGTTTCTCAGCGAGTCTAGTGTTGAGGGCTTAAGAGTCACTTTAACAAGTACTCTAGAGCTCGTTCGCTGTTTGCGTGAGCAAGTTGGGTTTCACTACTTGTTGACATCCAGGCTGAGCCAAGATAAAGTAGAAAACTTATCCGGAATGGTGAGACTTTTATCCGGCTGCAACTCTCACCTGACGTCACAGCAGTTTCTACTCATGCACTGTCTCTCTTTTTATAATTTTGAACACACAGTGTTGAAGGCGAGAATGCAGAAGGCGATATCATCAGTTCTCTTCTTGACATTGGGGACAGGGAAGAAACCACAAAGCAACAGCTGATCGACAAAATGAAGCTTTGCACGGAAAAGCAAGCGGGACCTTCATATTCATGTGACAGTGAATCTGTGGATGAGTGCCGCGTCCGGAGAAGCGACTCAAGACTGACTTATATGTAATGACAGCCTCCTCCTTCCAAAAGAAGGGCACCGCTTGCATGCTGCAGCATTTGTACGCCACAATGATCAAGTCGGTTTGCTCTACACGTCAGTCGAACTCTTTTGCTTTATCTCAAGGCTTGAAGATATTTTCACAAATTATTTTAGTGCACGAAAAGTTCACTGGGAGAGCCTGATGGACATCCTGCACATGATTCATTGTGCCGCTTCCTTGAATGTGGGATGCAGAGCTCACGCAGAGAGTCTGACTCCCCGCATAGTCAGCTTTTATGTTACCACACAACTTCCTTTTTAGATGCGGAGCATCTTATACTCGCACCTTGTAGTGCGCCGTCCGCACCGCTTCTCGAACATTCGACAGCTGACGCGCGCGCATGCGCCGTCGCGCCGTCGCCCACTCTTCCACCATCTGTGCATCCCTTCCTCCTCTACACACCGCGCGCGCTTCACTCCTCCACCATCTGTGCACCCTTCCTCCTCTACACACCGCGTTCGACATCTTCAATTCTCCTGATTCTCCAGTGGACGCGCATGTGGCGTCGCGCTTCGAGAACATTCAACAGCTGACAGTGCATGCGCCGTCGTGCTGTATATATACTCAAGGTCGGCGCTCGCTCGCTCAGTTGCCGCTCGTCGGTTGGTTTGTACGGCGCGTCGACGTCCAAGGTCGCGGTGAAATGAATTCCAACGAATCCACAAACACAATGATCGACGTCCCTTCGACCAGCGCCGCCCTTTCGCATACGTGTGTACGTGTTCACTCATTTAACACCCCCTCCTACAACCACGTTAACCAATTTAGCCATCGACCCAAGTAAGTCGCAATTTAACACCCCATTTCACAACCACGTTAACCAATTTAGCCATCGACCCAAGTAAGTCGCACTTTAACACCCCGTTAACCAACTATATGGTCCGCATCCTCCTCAGTGTTCCCCCGAGGGAAGCTGCGGGCAATTTTTTTTTTATCAAAGGCTTGAACAAAGCAAACGTGTTGTCAAAGAGAAAGGCAGCACACCACCTCAAGCTAAGCAGACTAACTTAGCTGTAATTCTACCCTGCTTGCTTTGTGCATTGAAGCTTCAAGAACAATTTTTGTGCAAATGAAAAACGCGTGCAATAAAATCGTGTGGGTCATTAAGAGCACTTTAGAGATTGTTTTTTTTCATGTCTGATTTTTGATAGTTTATAATGCATACGTTTCGCAAAATTTAGTACTCGCGAAATAGCCACATTGCCTGGAATGGTCCATTACGGGCGAAAAAAGAAAAAGTTGCAGCGCATCGACTGGCTTTCGTCTGCTACTAGGTTTTATTGCTGAGAGGCCCGAAATCATGCGAGCAGCTTAAACGCACCAATGCGGTTATAAAGTAACCGGAAAATACTTGTGAACACAGCATTAATTACGTTAAAACAGCGGCATTGCATAACCGAACACGCGTCACGTTCTCGTGTGCCACGTACACTGCAGAGGAGAGCCAGGGCGAACTTTCAAGGGTGGTCGATGGCAGCGCCGCCGCTGCAGCTGCCACCACGCGCGTCAGCCGGCGAGGCGCGGTCGTGTCACTGGAAAGTATTCTAGTACACTGTACCAGCCAAGTACCGGCGGCGAGCCGCGCGCGGCGGCGGCAGAGTATCATTGCGCATGCGCAGGCCAGTGCGTCGGGAAATTGGCTCAGCGAGGCCAGTGTAGCTAACGCTACAAAAAAAAAAAAAAAAAAACACTGTCGATGGTTTCAGTGAGTGAGTGATTGAGTGAGTGAGTGAGCGAGTGAGTCAAGTAGTTAGGCAGGTAGGGAACGAGTTCCAGGCATTCTTTTCTACGCGCCCTTTGTTATCACTGCCACTCCTTTATTTTGCTTACCTTTTTAGTGCACTACTACGAGTACTGGGACTATGCCTGGCTTCCGGCGATGTATCCGATTGCTCGATTCGTGAGCGAGTACGGTCTCCTGTCTTACCCATCTCCTGGCACCATGAGGAAGATAGCGCCGGAGTCGACGCTAGTATTCCCCTTCTCGCCGTTTCTCCAAGCTAGGCAGCATCACAGCGGAGGTACGTAGACTACTTTTGTTGGCGATATATAAACCCGGTAGCTCACGATGGAGTGGTCGCGGTTGTTTGAAAGTTCTGGCTGGTGCAATCTGCGAAGCAGAACATGAAAATGATCAATCTCTCCGTCAGACACCTGTAGCCTATCAACGAGAAGCGTTCTGACAAAATGAAACGCCACTGTGATCATCACCAGGGAACTTTATGCTTTGCATTATAGCGTAACGCAAACAACGCTATAGCTATAGCTCAGTGTCCCCAAGCCGTGCTTGCATTCTATTGCAAACGGGTTTGTGTTCTCTTGCGTACACCCGGTGCTTAGAGCGCACCAAGGTGGTGACGCTAAAGCTAAGTACGCACAGTACTTCCATGAGCTGAAAAGATAGATAGTCATAACTTAGGAATAAAGGAAATCTCGATCCACAAGTAGCGTTCATTTGTGCGTCACCCGCTCTGTAGTCCGTGTCTCGTCCCTGTCTCTTAATAAAGAGCGCAATAAGAAGTCAGGAACAACCAGCAACGAGCCCAATTCATCGCTCCACATTCATCACAATTCATCGCTCCAAACGGGGGAACATGCTGGGATGGCGCATTTGTGAAAAATGTCTGTTGGTTGAATATGAATGGTTGTCGGTAGTGCTAGTGTCTTTCCATGGGTTTTAGGTTGCAATAGACTGTTGTAAATTTTCCTAAAAAATGAAGGAGATTCATTGGAGACGCTACTTAAGTTCATATTCAGTTCACTATACCTAATAATTTGTTATATCAGCTTTTGTAATAGCTAGGTTTCATTGCATTTTAATGGGTAATAGGACGACGGTTAAGCGTTTTTTTTTTAATGCAGCGTGAATTTACGGAGCCGACACAGACGCGTAAGACAAAAGAATAAGAATCCTAGCAGATCACATGTTATGGGATTATGAAGATTCGATGCTTTGACGAGTTTTTAAATGCGTAGCATTTCTTAGCGAACTTCGGTGACTTTGAGCGTAGCTATCTATATATCAATATATTTAGCCGCTTACGTTTGGTTGTTCTCGTGGTCAACCCCTTAATTTGGCGTGAACCGAAATTAGCATGGGAGGGTAAGATGGTTTGACGAATATGACGCGCTGGTCCATACATAAATAATGTCACAATCCCGTCGCGTACGTAGTCGAACAATACTCGCTAGACAGTGGCACATACCCATGGGCGTGTATGGGCCGCTGGTATGCGGGTATGCGCCACAGATGATTGCCACTTAGTATATATACAGGATCGACGAGAACACACATGGACAATCTTAACGCACGAGCGTTAAGAAATACCCTACGAATGCAAAGAATAAATGTCAGAGTCCCAGCTGGAATCAAACCCAAGCATTCTGCGTGGCAATGAAGCATTTTACCACAGAGCTACATCAGGTCTCGGAACTACTTTTCAAATAGACGCTAATCTTCGTGAAACGCCAATAGTGGTTGCAGTGCTGCCTACCTAATTTTATAAACATTGCATATGTACTCCTTTGACATAGGCGTGACGTCAGCTTCACGTCAATTGGGGTTAGTTGCGCTGAAGTTGATTTATGTAGCAGTGACCAGGGCCAGCATCCTTGCGAGCATCAGCGCTTCATATCAGCTTCTGGTGTTGCTAATACACATGTTCCAGTTGGCATCGTTGCGCAAATGCAAACAACTGGTTATACAAACATCTACAGCTCTTCCACATATATATGTGCGTGCAACATTTGTACATATATTTAGCGTCATCTCATGACGTGTCGTTCAATAAAAAAAATTGCAACACGGTCGCCTTTCTACCGCATGCTTTGCATAACGTCTATTCCCAGGTACGTGGGATCAGCAGAATTTTTTTTTCTTGAGGTAGATAACGAATAAGTATTCATCTTGGTAGCAGCAATGTATGAGGCTTGTAGTCGCACTTTTTTAGTGGCCGTTCGCCTTGAGATACGCCAGTGAATAAGGACAACACTTCAACAACGGACTTACATGTTAGCACTTTTCCACAGAAAAGCTCATTCGGTAAGGTTTTTAAAGTCTCTCGAAAATTCTCTATTAACGCCTCCACTGTAAACATAATATAGTTTAATTGGGATGGACCTCATAGGAATGACCAAATTCTTCGGAAACCGATATCATTATTTCACTCGCCATGGTTAACCGTATGTAGATTTGCATATTGAGCTTTTTTGAATTTTCGGAGGGTAGTGTTGCAGAAAACAGTCACGCTTTATGAATTCGGCGACGCTTGAAAAAACGTCAGGTCACGAGAAGAATAGCATGTCAATGAGGTCTCAATTAATAACTGCTTAATTAGAGTGAGTAAAAGCGCGATTTCCTTAAATGCAGTGGAATAATTTACTTTACGCAGAGCCGAGTGTAAGCTCAGCCTGAGAGATCACACGGTGTAGGCATATTGCGAACGCCGTGTTCTTTTTAAAGACGACTAAGCTAACAATTTTTCAACGCTATGCCTGGTTTCTGCTACCTTGCAGGTACATCAGAATTGATACAATCACTGTACGTGTACTTCGGCATAGCCGCACACGACTCTAGTTTCAACAGGACGGAAGAAGGCTACGCCATGGTTTCGTATTTGAGCCAGGTAAGTTGCCCTTCAGAGGCTGCACTACTCTACTGATGAATAAATATAACTTTGACTAATATGAGGTTATCTAAAGGCTGGTCGATGTTGAAATGAATTAGACAAAGCTGTGTGCGAGCTATGTAGTTTTTTTTTCGTTATTTGAAATACTCATCTATGCCATTATGTACTGCGGGACGGATCCGAGTGGTGCAATTTTTATTGACCACATAGACGAGACAGAACTTCAGTGGTGGTCTGGCTTATGTTGACCTTAATGGCATCGGTCGGTTGTGGCTTGTGTGAGTAGAAAGGCGACTTAAGCAAGCACCAGAAGAATTCTAGCTGGGTCAAGTCGCATAATCTTGGGGGGCAATTCAGGTCACCTCGGCGAGAGCCTTTGTAAAGTGGTTCTTGCACAATATGCTGATCTAGGATTAAGCCATGAGCTGTAAGTTCTCGATTTCAAGGTGTCTCGACTGCAAGGTTGAGTACAGCGCACGTCAGCGCACGTGACACGGCGCGCTGATACATTATCCGATTCTTCAAAACACGCCGGCGACGTGGCATTGCAGCACCCCTTCGTAACATCAGCCTAAAAGGAATGCTTTTGTGTTCTGATTTCATAAGCATATGTTCAAGGATCTTATGCAGCTTTATCTCTTAATGTAGTCTAAGGTATCAGCTACACTCATCATTTTTCGTTACGTTCCAGTCTTTTTTTAGTTTTTTTTAAGTTTCAGTTTACTGAGCGTATTTGGGTGGGGGGTTACATATAAAGAGAGGTATACAGAAATACGTTCCTTAATGTAAACACTGCAATGGGACGTTGCGCGCTGGGTGATTATAAGATGGCTGTTTCTTGGACTAGTTACACCGACAGTCTGTGTGTCACTGTGCCGTCCTTCCTTCCAAGTATAGGAAGCCAAAGCAACGCATGGTGGCACTGCGACTCTGGGCAGGCAGCGCCATCTTTGACCGAGAAGTAGAAATCGCGTATGTATTTCGCACGTTTTCCCTTCCCGCCAACGCTTTTGCCGCTCTCTAACCTGCTCGTGCAGAACGGCAGAACGCACACGGTGCGTTTGAGTCGCCTCACAATGCACCGCTTGCATCGCAGCTTCAAAAAGATCTCTCAGGTAGAGAAGCACTTCCGAAAGCGAATTTAACGGAAGCATAAAAGCTCGTTAGTCACGCTTATGATGTGGAGCAGACGATGGTAGAAGAGGAGGCCTGATTCACTGCGAAATGCGTTTCTCAGCCGCGTCCTCAATCAATGTGCTGCGTTGACGTTTAAGCTAGATTCACACGCGAGGGCAAAATCGCACTGCTCCGCGGACCGAATAGTCACGTGATTAGTTTTATCCGGCGCAGCAGCAGACACGTCACATACACACAACCGGATCTATGCTCGCTGAATCCTCCTGCATACTCTCGACTCCTATTCTTATGCAGCGCGCTTCTACCGCCTTCATTTTCTACATGGAGTCATTTAAGACAGGACGCAGCTGACACCAATAAGATATTCGTATTTCTTTTAATTTATCTGTTGTTATTTCGCGTTTTTGAGCTCGTGAGAAATACCCGCCTTTTTACGTGCATCTCAAACGCCGAGTGGCGTCTGCGTCTACATGAAACGCTGATGGTGCACCCCCGCCACTTTCCACATCGTTACGAGACGCGCGCCAAAACGTACTACTTCGCGTAGGCTGCCTGCTTCCTAGCCACGCCAATCCGACCAATGTTGACAGATTTGACGCTGAATCTTCTCAATCGAGAGCAGACGATCGCCAAACAGAGGGATTGAAATAGCGGCGACACATTTCCATCCGTGCAGCGAGCGGAGGAGAGCGGATGAAGCGAGGCCGGCACCTTTCGATGACGTGCACGTCACGTGGTGCGCCATCCACTGCAAAAATTCCTCCTCTGTTCCCTCGTGTGAATCCACCTTTATGAAAATCATGTAGTTGTTTTGATTTGGTATCTAACAGTATAGCAGTCATTTACTGTCATGTGCAAACGTTTGCGGTGTGCTGAAAAAAATAATTAAAAAGTAAGCATGTGGTTATGACATTAAAATGTCCGAAAAGTTTTAGGACCGTATTCGCAAACCAACCTCATACTTTCCTCGAGTTTTCTTTATTGATTTTTAACCTTTATTGCGCATGATAAACAAATTGGATCAGTATACATTAAACAATCTTCTTCCCATCTTTCACCTTGTTACCATTTTCGTGTCTTTATAACGCATGTAAAGAGTACAGGAAGTTGAGGAAAACGTGAGGTAAGGCTGAGGTTGGTTTCTGAATACAAGCCTTAAAGTCAAGTTGAAAGGTTCGCCTCGTTTTTTTCGGCTCTCGTGTCATGCTTGCTCTATCCCTCGCGAACGCGGCTCAGTGTGAGTGGGGCCGAAGGACAGGCGAGGTGGGGTGTCGGTCACACGATGCGCAATTACCGCACATGTAAACCCGCACTCGAAGCACCTGTGCGGAGTGAGTGAGTGAGTGAGCAAACTTTATTTAACCAGCGGATTGAGGCGTGGGCCTAAGCCGCATCAGGGGCGGTGGAGAGACCCTGTCTCTCAGCCGCCTCCCGTGCCCGCTGGATGGCCCATATTTGATCTGTGCGATCTGAGCTGATCAGCGCGGCTCTCCACCGCGCCCCAAGCTGTTCTGGGGAGACTGCATTGGCGTCCTTTATCTGTGTGCATTCCCATAACATATGCACTAGGGAGGCGCGTCTCATGCTACATAGTTTACACGAGTCATCTGGGTATAGTTCGGGGTAGATGCGATTTAGGAGCTTCGGATTGGGAAATGTTCTAGTTTGAAGTCGCCTCCAGTCAACTTCCTGAGATCTGTCTAATGTGGAGCTAGGTGGTGGAAATCTGCGCCTCGACTTTTGGTAGGATTGGATAATGTCGCAGAACCGAAACATTCTGTCCCTCTCCCACCACTCATCTCCTCCCAGTACCTCATGTGAAGCTCCATTGCGAGTGCGGTAAGTGAGACCTCGCGCTACGCGGTGAGCCTCCTCGTTGAGGTTGGGAATGGGGGACGTACACGGGGTGTGGGCTGGGAACCATATAATATACCTTTCTTCGAATTCCTCGGATGATATGAGATTTGCCTTGCGGAGGAGTATGTTGGCTGCCTCGGGAGATATTCTTCCTCGTGCATAGTTACGGATTGCTGACTGCGAGTCGCTGATGACATACCTACACTTTGGGGAAATTATGGCCTGTGCAATAGCCACCTCTTCCGCGATTTCTGAATTATCCGAGCGTATGGAGCACGCGTTTACGCATTTGCGGTCGGTGTTTATTACTACCGCAACGTAGGATTTGTGACTAGGGTACTCCGCTGCGTCTACGAACAACGCTTCCTTGTCTCTGCCGTAGGCCTTAAGCAGAGTTCTAGCGCGGCTTTCTCTTCTGCCCTGATTAAATTCGGGGTGCATGTTTTTGGGCAGATTGGGGACCTGGATCTTTTCCCTGATCACCTTTAAAATCGACACTTTACTTCCTTGTTGCCTATGGTAATTTATCCCCAACTTGTCAAGGATACTCCGTCCTGTGCGCGTGCTGGCTAGCCTCTCCAACTGGGCAATCTGTTGCGCTTCTATCAGCTCCTCTAAAGTGTTATGTAAGCCCAGTTGAAACAGTTTCTCGTTGCTGGTGCTATCTGGAAGGCCCAAAGCTTGTTTGTACGCCTTTCGTATGAGTGCGTTGATTTTGAGTTTTTCGGCTGTATACCAGTTTAGATATGGCGCTACGTATATAATGTGACTTATGGCGAATGAATAAATAAGCCTGATGACGTTAGCCTCTTTCATGCCTTGGTGTTTGTTGGTGACTCTCTTGATTAGCCGTATTGCGTTGGTGACTTTGGTTACTAACCTCTTGACGGTATCACCGTTTGTACCCTTAGACTCTATGATGGGTCCAAGGACTCTGATTTGTTGCACTATAGGAATAGTCCTGCCGTTTTTGGTGTGAATTTGGATCTCTTCGTAAGCACGGTCCCGGTTGTATCCCTTGGGTGGTCTGCCTTTAAGTGTGGGGCGATAGAGGAGGAGTTCGGATTTATCTGGCGAGCACTCGAGGCCAGTACCATCAAGATACTCCTCAATAGTGGTGACGGCCTCTTGTAGTCTCTGCTCTATCTCTCCGTCACTACCTTCACATGCCCGGATGGTGATATCATCTGCATATATAGAATGATGTATTCCGTATATTGAGTTCAGCCGCGCCGGGAGTCCTATCATTATGAGATTAAACAGCATTGGCGATATGACCGAACCCTGCGGGGTACCAGCACTGCCCATAGGCCTTTCCTCAGATCTCAGTTCTCCCGTTACGATAGATGCCGTTCTGTCTGTTAGGAAGTCCTTGACATAGTTATACGCCCTTGATCCTAAGCTTAATTGGCAGATCTGATGTAAGATAGCCGTATGCGATGCTTTGTCGAAGGCTTTTTTAAGGTCTAACCCTAAGATCGCCCGGGTAGCTCTTGTTTTGTTGTCTAGAATCTGCTGCTTAATTTGCAGCATGGCGTCTTGCGTGGAAAGCCGTGTGCGGAACCCCAACATGGAATCTGGGAAGATTTTGTTCTCCTCAAGATAAGTGTTGATTCTGTCTAGAAAAGCGTGTTCCATCAGCTTCCCAGCACAAGACGTTAGTGATATGGGGCGTAAATTCGATAGATTGGGGGGTTTCCCAGGCTTGGGGATGAGGATTACTTTAGCTTTTTTCCACTGTTGTGGTATAGTGCCCTTGGTCCAGCACTCGTTAATATATTGCGTGATGTTCTCTATGGCTTGGTCGTCAAGGTTCCGTAGTGTTATGTTAGTGATCCCGTCTGGTCCCGGTGCAGATTTGCTGTTTAGCTTCTGTAGCGCGGCCCTGATTTCAGCCACAGTAAACTCCTCATCTAAGAGCTCGTTCGGGCCTCCGGAATATGGTCCGTGCTCTATGACAGGCATGGCGGGAATGTACGTGTCGCTAGCCTCAGCGATAAAGTCCTCCTCACTGCCGTTATACTGGTGCACCAGTTTACGCAAGGTTTGCTTGTGTGCTGATTTGGTGTTATCTGGGTCTAGCAGGTGCTGAGCATGCGCCATGTCTGACCAGCATTCATTTGGCCATCGAGACTATTGCAAACTTGGTCCCATTGCTGTTTGCTTAGCTGCTTACAATGTTCTTCGATCTGTTTGTTCAGCTTGGCTATGCGCTTGCGCAAGGGCCTGTTGTGCCTCTGTCCCCGCCATCTATTCTGCAGTGATTGTTTGGCCTCCCACATGTGTGCGAGACGGCTATCAATCTGCTCTAGGGGTGGACTTGAAGTGATACTCCGCGTTGCCTCGCTGACGTCGTTATTGACATCTTTGATCCAATCTTCTATATTGCTGATAGGGTCTTGTTTTTTCGCATTTCTGACTTTCCGAAACTTACCCAGTCAGTCCATCTAATCTGTCTCTGAATTTTTGCGGCAGCCATGGTTTCTATCCTAATTTCTAATATTCGATGATCACTCCCCAGATCATCGAATGTGTTTTTCCATTTAGCGGTCCCCGCGTTACGAACTAACGTTAAGTCTGGAGTGGTGTCTCTTGCAAGCCCAGTTCCCATACACGTAGGGGAGTCGGGGTCAGTGATGATAGTTAAGCCTGTTTCTTGAATATCCTGCCATAGCGTTTTTCCTTTGGCTCTTGTGTATCCGTATCCCCAAGCACTGTGTGGAGCGTTAAAGTCTCCACCTATGACGAGTGGATTGGGTCCCGCTATATCTACCGCCTTCCTAAAGAGAAGAAGGAAGCGTTGTCGTATGCGTGTGGGATTGCTGTACAAATTCAGAATAAATATGCTCGGAGATTTTTTTTCTTTTAGGGGCAAGTTGTACGAGTATATGTTCAATTTCTGTGATGTGGGTGTCGTGGCAGATTGCTACGAGTCCCTTCCTTACTAGAGTGGTTAGTGTTCTAATATCCCCTGTTGAGGGGCCGATCGCCTGATATCCCGGTAGCTTAGCTAAAGCATGGGTTTCCTGCAAAATTAGAACATCCAGTTTGGTTTTGTCTCTAAGGTGTTGTTGCAAGACTGCTCTCTTCCCCTCATAGCTCCTGCAATTCCACTGCCAAATAATTAAGTCTCTTTTTCTCGGCTTCCCTATTTTGAGTTGGCTATCGAAGAGGGAGGAGGGTGAAAGGAGGCAGGCCTCATGAAATTAGTTGATATAGCGACTGATGCGGTGCCCTGAGATAAGTGTGAATTTCCTTCAGTGCTTATCGGAAGGTTGGTAGCTGGAAGTACCGGAGCTGTCCTAGGGTTGAGATTGGCTACGTTAGCTTCGAGTTTATCTAGTCTATTCATGATCACAGATATTGCAAGCGAGAGGTTGTTGGTTGCCTCTGCCTGTTCCTTAACTGCTTTCTGTATTTCGGACAATGTTTGATTAATGTTCGAGCTTTGCGCCGTAGTTTTGTCATTAGACACCTGAGCTTTCCTTTTAAGAGGTGGCGGGGTACTGTCCTCGTCCATTCGGTTATCTGGCATTTCTTCGAGGCGCTCTTGGGCCGCGGAACGCATTTGACTAGAAGTTCTATTTGTGCAGTTTTTAAGACTTTGAATTTCCCGAGTAAGTTGTGATATCAATTCTCTAAGCTCAGCGTTTTCTTTTTTCAGCTCTGCTATATCACTGGCATTATGCGCAGTCTCCCCCGAAGGCTCAGGGCGCGTCCCTTTAGCCACGTCTGACCAGCTCACCATGAAAGCCGGGTTCCCTTGATGGCAATTGCCACCCTTTGGCTTAGACCGGGATCTGGAACGGGATGTAGTGCGCCTTCTCGGTCCCGGAAACTGCGTGGTGTGGCCGCGGGGCGTTGCGCAGGACCAGGACCTTGATCTGGACCCAGGCGTTGCCCTCGTCCGGAATTTGGACCTCCCGCGTTCGGTTGGCTTGGTGGTAGGGGAGTAGTTCTCCTCGAGCGTCTCTTGAAGTTGTCGGAACCACTGGCGTTGTTTTACGATGTAGGGTGTCTTGAACTTGGCATTGCAGAGTTTGTCAGCCGTGGGATGATCCTTGCCGCACAGCTGACATCGCGGCTGACAGTGGTGGTCCTCGCTCGGATCAGGCGTTCCACAACCCGCACATAGCTTGTCGTTTGGCCTCCAGCACACGTCACTCCTGTGCCCAAGTCTGTTGCATTGTTTGCAAAAGTCAACTTGTTTCCTGTATAGTGAACAGCGTGTGAGCTCTCCTCTGTACATAACGTGCATTGGGACTCTGCTGCCGTCAAAAAGGACTATCACTGTCGTGGTGTTGCCAAGACGTTTGGCTGTGATGGCCGTAGGATTTCGGGCTGCAATAATAGCTGCGGTGATGTCCCGTGGGGTTTCGTTCAAAGGAACTCCTTTGATTACACCTTTGGCAGTGAGTTCTGGGGCCGTCTCGTATGCTCCCACCTCATACAACTTGTCGTTGGCTTTGATGTGCTTGATGCCTTGGTACTTATCTGCATGGTCTTGGTTTGGGGTGCTAACGACCCAGATGTTCTGAAAATTATTCGGACAAATCGTGTCCGTCTCTCTTTCTTCATAAGGGATCTCGGCCGCTTCATACACAGCTTTGTCTAGCTCCGTTAAGCTGAGCTTGGATAGCTACAGTCCTCCTCTTGGCCTTATAACTATCTTGAAGTCACCTGTCGGCAGTCTTGGCATTTTGCTGGCTCTGGTTATCCAGGATATCAGGTTTGCACCGCGCGTTCTAGGTGTTCGGGTAGGGCTAGGGCTACCACGGCGTTCCTGGCTACCTTTTTTCGCACGTTTTCTGTATCGAACTTCTGCCCATCCGTTGCCTGTGTCATCTTCTTGTTGGGTGACGTCTTCGTCTTCTCGTCGGGTGGCGTCTTCATTCTGCTGCGATACCTCCATTATTGATGATTACGGCCTGTATGGCGCGAACGCCGAGTCCTGGCTATCGTGAGGCTGCCCCAGTCGACGCGGAGCGCCGGTCGTAGGAGTAGTAGACGCTACTTGGGGGGGGGGGGGGGGGGGCTGGTTTTCGGTCGTAAAATCTCAAAAAATGATCACCCACCTTAGAATATGGTCTCTTCGGATTCTCGGTGACGAGAAGAATCAGATGGTATATAAATCCGAGCAGTGCCTGGCTGTATTCGCTGTGAAATCATTCTATGAGAACGGAGCCGACGTGAAGAGCGTCCATTCACCTCGGTGACCGCAGCGCCTCCCTGTCTGCTGTGCGGAGTGTAATTTACTTTCAAGCATGTTTTGTCACCTAAATTTTTACTTTGTACGCACTCCTGAAGCTCTTTTGCAGAGATGCAAACTTGAGGTTAGCTTTGAAACGTGCGCCGTCATGTAACACGCTGCTAAGTATATATAGGCAGGCTTGAGAAGTCAGTTTCTTGTGAAAAACAGTGGCAACTGGCTATCCAATTCTTTTTTTCTCCTATAGTTGGCATGGTCATACCAGGAGAAGCAGGGTCCTTGTATTCGAGAAGGCACATGCAGCTGCAAAGCCGGCATTAAAGCACACTGAAAGCACGCAGCTGTGGTATGCATCCATAAAATAATGAAGAAGTGAATTTATGCACTAGTCAGCCCCAACAGTTGGGGCAAACCAGAAGGCAGTTGCATGTGAAAAACAGTGTCAACTGGCTGTCCAGTTTTTTCTCTCCCATAGTTGGCGTGGTCACGCCAGGAGATGCGGGTTCTTTGTATTTGAGAAGGCGCATCTGCAAAGCTTGCTATAAAGCACAGTGCAAGCACGCAGCCACGGTATGCATCCACAAAGTAATGAATAAGTCAATTCAAGCACCAGTGAGCCGCAGAGTTGGGGCAAACCGGTACAGCTTTACACGTGGAAAATGTCCCTTGGTGTTGTCTGCATTGTTGTGGCAGCCCACGACTCAACAGTACTTTGGACCTTGCCGACACTTCCATGGCGTCACCTCTGCAATCGCGAAAATGCAACTATGCACAGCGAGCATCTGGTTTTTGCGCGCCAAGCTGTCGGCACGGCGCTGAAGTCCACCGGCACCGACTGCAGAACGCGTTCTTGACGCGTAGCACGCGCCCCCGCTTAGGCGAAACCGTCGAATACAGTGAATTGCCTGCACCCCCCGCCACGCCTATCCTCAAGTTTTCCGGAGCTTGCCGCCAGGGCCAGGCGCGGCGTTGTCATTGCTCTGCAAACTTGAGCTTCGGTTCCCTATGGTCGATGGTCTTTCATGTTTCTGGGTCACTCTTCAGGTTTAGGCCCGTATGCTAGATAATAGCATTATCTCAGGTTTTACGCGCCAAAACCACGATGTGGTCACGAGACAGCCCGTATTGAAGGTCTCCGAAAATTTCTACCATTTTGTGTTCTGTAACGTGCACAGGCACTCCACAGTATACGGGCCTCTAGCATGTCGCCTCCAACGAGATACGATAGCCGTGGCAGGGATCCAACCCATGACCTTCGGGTCAGCTGCCGAGCACATTTCCACTGTTAAGCACTGTTCACCGAGGCGGACCGTATGTTAGAACTGGCTGAGTGCAATGGGCCTACTCTTTCCCCTTAAGTGACCGTAAAAAGTTGCCGGCCACGAGTTAAGGATGCCTGCGGCATATGCTGTGACTGCTATGTGATGGCAAACTTAGGCCAACCCTTGATTAACGCAGTCTAAGTTACTGCCTCAACTCCAGCACTGTCTTTATTCGAACTCAGTTTTTTTTCCTGAATCGTCTTGCGTCTTCTTTACCTTATTTTGTTGAAAAACAAAACACAACAACACAGGTTGTGCAAGCGGAAGCTGTTCGCACCGGCTGCGAGTCATTCCGGCGTTGGCGCAGCTACCTCGATGAGGGTGGTCATGGCCACACCATGGGCGTCCTCTACTGGCAGCTGAACGATATCTGGCAGGCACCGTCGTGGTCTTCCATAGGTGAGCCTTAAAACAAGGGAGTAGCCCCGAAAGTTATCGCGAACGTAGTTAGATCTCCCGAGCCCCCAAAGCTCGGATAACGCGCCGTATGTTCCACCGTCACTCACCGATATAGCGGCAGTGACTAACACTCCCAAGTTTGCATGCACACGATAATGGGGATGAGAGTACTACAGCTACCGTAGTTCAATAAGTATAGAGCATTGGGCTCGTTATGCGAAGATTGCAGATTCGGTCCTTGCCGGCTTCCGTTGCTCTTGTAGTCCATTTCACCGTCTTCACATATATATCACAATTATACTTGAAACCGTGCAGCTAACGACCTTTATGTCTTTTTGGACTTCGTTATTCGCTGGGCTTCGTTAACGTTCTGTCAAACAATGAAGCGAACCCTCGAAATTCCTTTCTCTGATTACCTCATACTCAGGGCCCCTGTACGTGACCTCTTTGAAATTTTGTTTTGTAGCTGTACCACGTTATCTCAAGCGCTTCTTACCCCATCTCTCTCTCTCTCTCCCCCTTTCTCTTTCAGAGTATGGAGGTCGTTGGAAAATGCTACACTACTTCGCCAAGAAGTTCTACAGTCCAGTGCTCGTGTCACCGTTCTCGAACAAAACACACCTCACTGTGTTCATCGTCAACGATGAACTTTCACCGTTGGAAAAAGTTTCGCTCAAAATTTTTTCTCAGAAGTGGACGTCTTTCGTTCCTGAAAACACCACGGCCTTTGAACTCGTGGTGGTGAGCCAGGCTTCTCATTTTTATGGCGACCCTCATGCAAAACGTCTGAATCTCTTTAGGCCGACAAGTTATTTTCGAAAATTGGAACCATCGGTTCCAACTTGTTGCGTGTGATATCGCAAGAAGTGCATCATGAAAGTAGACGTAGCTGTGCGCTCACCATTAGTTGCATAAGGTTAGACGGCTTAACCACAATGATTTGCATGTATCGGTTGGAACATCTGTATAAAGTTTACATAATTTTTTTTGAAGTGCGTAGAACTTTAGGGGCGTGGGTTGTCCGTCCACCGTCGCATGATTACGCAGTGGTTAATACAGGCTTGCAACAAGACTAACAATGTTCAAAACCCGCGAGAAGTAAACTAACAATGTCCAAAATAACATACAGAAATAACCAAAGATTGATCGAAATAAATCAACGAAAATTGCGAAATGCAGTTCTGAAACATACTCTTCATCAATTGGAAACCGATGGCGTATCATGTTTTGCAATCAGCCCTGCAGCGTACAACTCAGTATTCGTTTCCGCAAAGAGAACCATAAAACAAGCATCAAAACCGCGTAATGTTGTTAAAGGGTTAAAACGGCTGTGAACGATGGGAACGCCCTCCTAAGAGTTGCAGGTAAAGAATAGGTTGTAGAGTTGCTTTGCGTTTCACAGTTGCTTTGCGGGCTTTGAATATAACGTCAAACAGCCGTATACCGTTTCCTCGCGCGTTTCCCACTTTCATATCGTCATGGGTTCGTGAGTTTGACGAAAGAGCCACCCGGCTTGCTCAAACTTAAAGGGTCTGAGAGTGCCGAAAACTCTAGCTCGCTGTTATCTCCTGGCGTCTCCCGTCTTTGCGCCACAATTTGCGACGTCAAGAGAGATTTCTCAGGTGACGTCATGATGAAATATGCTCCCTGTTTGTCGATATGCAAGGGATATCTGTCGCGAATTGTCACCTGCCCGGCTTTGCCACGCAGTCGCATGCCCTTTCTTCCTTGTCTGGCAAGACTTTCTTTCGTGTGCGGTAAATCAATTTCACTTAATTTTTTTCTACATTTGTGACTGCGCAAGTGGAGATCACAGTGTATAGTCGAAAAGCGCGAAATATTGATTGTCTGAACGCTTATTGCTGATATTCCACGTGCTTTATGAAGAAATAAGTGGGGGGGGGGGGGAGTAGATAGCACTTGTAGGAAGGGTAATTGAGGTGAAAATTAAACTATTGTCTCGCCTTTGGTCGGTGCGGTTTAGGGGCTCTATAAAGGGCATCCAAACCATACCGCGTTAAAAGGTGAGACGTTATAGTTTCTCGCCTTCCCTTACTACTAGCGCTTATTTCTCCATGCAACGAATTACTTCGCAAGACAAGTTCTTAATTTATGTGTCACTTTGAATGCTGTAGCCCGCTGCCAGCTCTTTCGAGGCAGTCATCATACCGTTGGACAGCCTGTGGAACACCAGTTCGTGCTCGAGTACAGAATGTTTCTTGTGGTTCACGCTAGAGGATACTCTGACAGCGTTCCCGCTTGCGCCAGAGGCTTATGTCCTGCCCGCTCGACTTGCCAACGCAACCTTAGTGCAGGCAACTATAAAGGTGAGGTTTACAGAGGAATTTCGTTTGTACGAAATACCGTCACTAACATCGACATCGCCATATCAGTTCTGCAGAAGCCCCGAGGGCGGAGGAAGAAACGAAGTGCAGGAGGATAAAACCTGGTCGCTTCTTGGTTAGCTTACTTGGCCGAGCAACTGTCTCACGGGTGTCTTGGTCCAGGGTTTAAATCCTGAACTCAGACAAATAATATTTTGTCAATTAAGAAGTGTCAGGTTGTTCTTATAAATTTGTACTATTTATTGAACCTCCGTGCTACGAAATGGGCAGATGACATTTTTTTACCATTTTTAAGCGCTATATTTGCAATATTTCTATGACAAAAGGTTCTGAATTTAAATTACCTGAACAGCTAATGACTCCTGAAGCATCGCAGTGTATGACTAACCTTAGCAAATTGGTGGCCTATAACAATGTATTTTTAATGCCCCGAGCACTTCATTAGAAAATGTGTTTCACTGTGTTGCATTCGCTTCAGTTGACACAAAATATTTTCATTTTGCAGCATTATTACGCTTTCGTACGATGTGTCCTGAATGATTCCTTAAACAGCTTTGAAAACTCAAGATGCTTGTGTTGTTTGATAGTCCTGCATTTTTTTGGGGTCATTTTGGACCGATTATTACTGACGAGCATTGCTTAAAAGATATATTAATTTGGTTTTAAAGTAACGTTTTGTGCCCATCCGAGTATACAGGCCCAATCAACATTTTCCGTGGTTTGATGTAAACAGAAGCCCTCTTATGACATCGCAGAGGTAAATTAAGTGTTGTCATCTTGAGCGCATGCATCTCAGGCGCTGCCCCGCTGTATGGTGTTAGAGTTTCTTATTGTACTTAGGCAGGTGTTTCAAACTGACGCAAAATCGTTCTGAATCAACGACGCTACCATTAATTATATGATGCGTTAGAGAATCAACGATTTAGTTTCGGTGTCACCAGACGCAAGGCTGGAAATTGCTGTAAAAATGTCGCAAACAAAACTTTCGCTGTCAGGGGTCGTTTAACGTTTACGTAATCGTGAAAGAAGGCTTCACTCGTGTCGTTTTACGCATATTAGTGAAATGCAGGGTAACCACAGCCTGACCATTTCTCTAGTGGTATAAACGGTCTTTCGTCGCAATTTCGGTCAGGGTTCGACGCCGCACGCCATTCTCTGCCTTTTCTCCTGCAAATCAGTGGCATCGCAAGCGCCACACCGGCTTTATAATATGTGACAGACAACTAAACTGCTGTAAACACATTCGTTCATTCTTTTGTTGCGATAGCAAATATATGGACACTCTCGGCTGGATTTCGCCGCCAGCGTCGGCGTTGGCGTGGGCGTCAGCGTCGAAGTCATGCACCGTATATGTATACATATTTATACATAAACGCAAGACAGAAAAAAATACCATAAAATGACTCAGCGCGCATAATTGAACGTAGGACCTCCGCGTCGTGAACGCGAGGCGTTAACCACTGAGCAACCGAGAGGTTTTTTTTTCTTTAATGTTGAGCCACCGAGAGGTACCTTCTTCAAGGTTCAAACGGCAAGATATTCATACCTACCACTTACCGCTGTTGGCGGGCATCGCGGGGGGTGGGGTACTATTGTGTTTTCAGCATTATCAGCAAGATGGCGCAGTGAGCGCGCGGCGGCTCTAATCTCGCACGCTTGCATCAACCCGCGTAGAGAATGAGGGGGTGCACGCTCGATCACGCGCCCTTATCTTGCAGTGGGGAAAATTGTACGTCATGGCTAGCCTTTGTGGTTCGTCGGAAAGATTCTGTTGTAGTTACCAGGCAAAGGTCACTGCAATCGCTGCACAGTCTTCCTTTGCGAAAAGGGCGTGCTTTTCAGAGACAGCGAAGTAACAACTAAGACGCTTATTCGCGTTCATCTGTACCTGTGAGTACGTTTCGTGTGTCCTTTATGCGTGAGAAACGCGAGGCACGTTTCGATCTGCTTGCCACTCTGAGCGTAGCCTTCCAATTTGTCGCTATCGCGTTCATTGCTTCGCCTTTGCGGTAAAGCTGTAACTTTTTCTTTATTGGCGTTAGTCTCTTTTTTGGCCTGCGTCTCTTACCGCAGTAATTTTTTTAAACGCAACTTAACTTCATCCTCTCTCATCTTTACCGCTTTTTCTCAGGTAGTATCCGTAACGGGACCACTATTTGCCGACCACGAGCCGTACAGCTATAAGGTGAACCTTTTTACGGATAACGTGGCGATCTTCGTGTGGCTCGACTCACAGCACCTGAGCGGTCGATTCTCCGACAACGGTTTTCTGCTCAGAGAATCAAACAAGGTGGTTTTCTTTCGAACCAACGAGAAAGTGTCTGCCGAGGAGCTTCGAGATGCCATAGCCATCTACACAGTCTCGGATTGCACGGCTAAACCTGGGTGCCCGGTCGGCTACAGCAAGAATTATCCACGCCCACGTTATGATGCAACGGAAACACAGAATGACACAGTAGCGGGCGGACTCACGAACTCTGACTCAACGCAAACGCAGAATGACCGTGTAACGGGCGCTCACTTGAGTAGCGTAGTGGTTTGAGCGAGTTTGTGGACAATAATCTTGTAATACAGCGTAAACACAGAAGGATACGGTGCAGAGTGGACGCACGATCGCTTTCTTGAAGATTGTGACCGTGTGGGTAATTTCGGTGATTCTTTGTCCCCTTTTTGCTGTGTCTCTGTGTGTTTCGCACTTTATTACAAGAAGCATTAGCATGCCCGTTGAACGTGGACTAACCAAGTACAAATCAGAATTCCCTTATTAGCGATGAACTGCGTCAATCTATCAGCTGAAAATTATTGTGTGCAAGGTATTTACGTGACTGCAAATTTTGTCTGTTGAAATAACACTGGACATTCGAATACGTTTCACGCAATTTCTGTAAATTCGAAACGCCATTGATGGTTTTATGCCGCTTGTGTCTATAAGCACGGTACCAATTTAAGCAGCAAGAAGTGTGCTCGTTCAATTTTCTTGCTACCGTGTGTCTGTTCTGCACTACTTGTGTACGTGTTAGATTTATTACTGTACAGCATTTTATACTGCTAAATAATGAAAACATTTGTCGAGAGGGTATCTGCAGTTTTTCTTTTTGAACGCGACAGGGTTAAAGAGCTCGTTTCGTAGAAATGCCGATGTCGGCACCGTTGGTTGTGAGCGCAAAATAATCTTGTGCATCACTCGAAAGTTGAAAACAAAGATGCAAATAAAATAAATAATAAGTTTTGGGTCTTAATGGGAATCGAACCCGGGTTGTTCGCATAGGAACCCGGGTTGTTCGCATGTCGGATTTGGGTGTACTTTAAAGAACCCCAGGTGGTCGAAATTTTACTACGGCGTCTCTCATACTCATATGGTGGTTTTGAGACGTTAAATTTTACATAACATTAATATTATTATAATATCGCATCTGATGTGCTGTGTCGTGATCGCAGAAAAAGTTTCGTATGGAACAACGTTTCGTATGGAACATGCTTGCTCTTCATCGTCACGAGTGTCATCATCATCGTCATAGCGTGTAGTGGGTACCTTGCGTGCGCTGTGACGCATAAATTTTATGCTGTGACGTGATAGCAGAAAGAGGTGTTTTCCGATTCTTAGACAGCACGTAGAGAATCTACGGGTAGACTGCTTAGAAGACGGCACCGAGCCCATGCTGTCCGAGAATTGGAACACTACTGGAAGGTTTTTATGCGACAATGCGCCACCTCGCCTCAAAAAAAAAAAAAGCTAGAATGAACAAATGTAAGTTAGATTTTCTGTTCGCATAGGAACCTGGGTGTTCGCATAGCACATGTTGCCGTGTGCTCAGATTTAGGTGCACGTTAAAGAACCCCAGGTGGTCGAAATTTCCGGAGCCCTTCACTACGGCGTCTCTCATAATCATATGGTGGTTTTGGGACGTTAAACCACACAAATAAATCAATCAAGCGGGTGTTGTACCACGCAGTCACGCGTCTTTTATTTTTTGTTGTTGTTGCATGCAATCTATGCATGTCCCATTTTAGAACACATATGGGTAGCTGTCGATTCCAAAATGAAGTAGATATAAGCAGTTACAATGATGCAACAGCAGAAGTGACAGCGGAGGTCCTCAGGGCTATGTTTGCGAGGTTCGGTCTACCTCGTACTCCTGTGACGGATTACCGACGTCAGTTCACGGGTTTCCACCTGCGAAATTTCCTAGGAATGCTGCCCTAGGAATGCTGAAAAAAGGCTTGAAGAAAAAACGAAGAAATTCCATTACAAACTCGAATATATCAAGACTTCTGATCAATTACCACTGGTTCTTGCTTGTCATTTTGCAATTGGTGGAAGTCGCTTGTGAGCTTGCCGACCAGCTAGCGGATTGCCACGTAACCACAAGAGCTTCAATAAGAAGCAATACCAAATCACCGGTATACAGGAGCAACAACGCCGGTAGCGACATTTTTTAGGAAGACTGCGTATATAGGCCTCCTCAGATCACATAAAGCTGCTATGCCTTTTGTTGTACTTGTTGTCTGCTCACGTAAACCGTTCATTATCTATATACTCACTAAAGTGCAATCATTTTTTTCTTGACTGAGAGAACATTGTACTGACACGTGACGATTACTACGATGACAGTGGTATAGGCACTCTGGCAGAAATGAAACTCAGTAATGAGCTAACTTATGCTAGGAAAACTAAGTAAATCAAAGTTCAAGCATATTGCGCTGTACTGTCATAGCAGCAATAACACTGGTCAGCCTTCGGAAACCTGATCATTGGCACAACTCTGCTTGTAGTTATGCAGCCGGGCTCAAACGTTCCAGCATTATTGCTGGTGAATGCGTAAGCTCGCGAATGAACAAGAGTATATCCACCTTTTCACAGGAAAGAAAAAAACACCGCCATGATGGGCTGTGCACGGGAGTACAAAGGCTAAGGGCGCAGCGTTGCCAGTGCATTTTCGAGGGGACGCGCCAATTTGCACAGCCCAAGGAGGGCTATGGTGGCACCCAGGGAGGCGTTTATGAAAAGGTGAATACGTTTAGCGCATGCGCGAAATCTAAATAAATTTTCTGTTCTTATGGTTCTAAAACTACGATATAACTACACGCAACACAGAAGTGGTTGACCCCGGAAATTTAGACCATGCGGCGTTTTCAAACGTGGATTCAAATCCAAGCCTCTAGCATTTCACCTCCACGGACATGTGGCCATGGCAGCACGCAGGATTTTCGCGCAGTCTTACCACCGTATTCTAGAACATCCCTTCACTCAACGCTTCACCTTCACTTGAGAAAGCCAATGGGAGCGCCATGTCTAAGAATGGCAAGTCACTGTATATCGGGGATAATCTTCTGCGATTTTTGAGTAGCGCAGTGTCATTTTCAGCTGAGCAATGGCGCATTGCCCAACTCTGTCAAGTGAAGGGTGAAAGTCGAGTCGAGGAGCCTTTGTGAATACGGGGGTTAGCAGCCCAACCTGAGATGATCTCAATGTTAACGAAACAGAATCGTACACTTGCGCCGAAGGCCCATACGTTTTTTTTTTTTTGTGACTTATAGACATGATCACACCAAAATGAAAAAAAATCACAGCATATCCACGAAGTGAATGATGATGTGTGGGCGAAGCTGCGGAGGATCATTCGGGTAACCGGTAAAACCCCCTACTTAGCTGACTCAAACATGCAAATGAGTGAGAACACACGTGTACAGTATGTTGTTTATTACATACACACGTGTATGTGTATGTTGTTTTATTGGTCTCGTCTCGTATTGAGGTGCGGACTCCGTTTTCCCTTCATTAAGACCGCCTTATGCATCATCACTGAAATCAAAGCCAAGGGTTCATACATGGGATGTAAGCTAGCTAAAATTCGCAATGACATTGTCCTCTCGTCACATACTGCAAAAGTATGTCGTTGTCCGTGATCTTCATCGCAATCATTTTTATCGTCATCAGTGTCATCATCATCATGGCAACGATGCACGCCAACGGACATGCCACGACCGTAAGGAGCTTCGCCCCTAAAAAACTCGCGGCATATCTGCGAAGCGAAAGACGATGCGAAGCAGGGAGAACGTTTGGTGTTACTTGAAGTTACTGTAAGCCATCCGTGACATTGACCACTAACACATGTAAATACAATGTTCATTATACAATTATATACAATGTTCATTGTTATATACAATGTTCATTATATACAATGTTCATTGGTCATAACTGGTATATTGTGTTGCGTTGTGAATATCGTTTTGCCTTCATTTCTTTGTGGTTTTTAGATGTAGCCAGAACTTGGCAAAGACAAGGTCTGTGCATGCTTTCCTGGTGGTTGCTCGTCCTTTGCAGTCATAAGAGATGCATCGTAGAGCATATGGAGACGTCATTTAGTGCACAAGTCAGTCGTTGTCCGGGATCGTCATCGTCATTATCTTAATCGTTACGAGCGTCGTCATGACGTATAGTGGGTGTACCAGGCGGGCCACCGCTTAATAAATCGGGATGATCCCACCTCTCCTGGCCACCTTGAGAGAGGGCGCGCGCGCGGCGCGGCAGCCATCAATAAACAGTCCCTTGCTAGCTAGCGTCTCGTGTGGTTGTGTCTTTGCCGAGCGCGTAAAGCAGAACATGGTGTCAGAAGTGTAACAGTCGAACCCTGCGCTGAAGATGACCAGTCTCAGGCGAACTAGCTCCATGTTTGTCAGAACTGTCATATGTTGATGGAGTGCTTTTGCGGGGCAGCAGGGTGGTAATCCCAAAGAGTCTGAGGCGATCCATGCTGCAACGTCTTCATGAAGGCCATTTGGGAATGAGCAAGTGCAAAGCCAGAGCACGCCTTCTGATGTACTGGCCTGGGATGAATGCTGACATCAAGTCACTCATTAGCAAGTGTGCCACATGTCAGCACTTTGCCTACCGGCAACCTTCAGAGCCACTGTTATCGAGGGAAATCCCAACGCGGCCGTGGCAGCGAATTGGTGTCGACCTATTTGACCATGGGGGCAAGCGTTACCTGGTTGCGTACTGTGCCTACTCCAACTACCCAGAAGTGGAACAGTTGCCTCAGTCAACAAGTCAGGTCGTAGTGGACACACTAGGGACCATGTTTGCTCGCCACGGTATACCCATTGAAGTCTGTACCGATGGAGGACCACAGTTCACATCGCGAGAGTTTAGACAGTTTGCAGTAAAATACGATTTTACTCATACCATATCCAGTCCACACTTCCCCAGGGCCAATGGTCTAGCTGAGAAAGGGGTACAGGTCGTAAAGCGCCTCTTGAAGAAAAGTGAGTACGCTGGCGAGGAGTTCTGGGTTGCACTGCTCAATTATCGAATCTCGCCCCTGATAGACGGACGCACACCAAGTCAGCTCCTTATGGGACGGATGCTTCGGGGACGACTTCCAGACTTCTCATCGGCTTCGACATCGTCAGTGCGGAAACATCCACAGGATCACGGCAAAGGCATACCTCTCACACCTCTCTCCGAAGGGGACGTCGTCAGAATAAGAAACGACAAGGGGTGGTTTCCGAAAGCCCGAGTAGAGAAACTTGCTGGCCCTAGAT